TGATTGTATGTACTACCTTGTAAATTTAGACTATCGGACAGCAAACAGGGGGGTTGTTTGTAGGGTGGGTTTTAATTTGTTTTTGTTTTTTTAATGTATGTATGTATGTATGTATGTATGTATGTATGTATGTTTGTATGTATGTATGTATGTATGTATGTATGTATGTTTGTATGTATGTATGTATGTATGTATGTATGTATGTATGTATGTATGTATGTATGTATGTATGTATGTATGTATTTCATTGTGAAGATAATAATAAATATATCAAACCTAGAAAAGATATGTTCAAAAGATTATCCATTGTTGTTACCATAAATGAAGAGCAACTTGGCAAAGAAGTAGTTTAATGTGTTTTTCTTTTTTCTAGGGCACTTGTTGCAAGCAGCCAGTCACAAAAACACATTTGGTGTTTGATTTTTCTTTTTAGTTCCAGCCCAGACCCTCAACCAGGGTTTATCTTTCATTTTGGACAGTGTCTTATATGTTTGACTCCTTAATTTGGGGTGAGTGAAATTAATAAAGTCTAGTACATTGGATGATGTTTGTAATTCTACTTTGTTGAGCTTAAATTTGTGTTTAACTACAAATTTAACTTGTTGATATTCTAAAGATCTATTCTCCCACTGGGAAAACCAGGACTCATCTGTGGGTTATGCTTCAACCAACATAAAACAAGGCAGATTTAAAATCAAAAGCAGTGCAGAGTTTTTACCTGAAGACGGCACAACACTGACAGTCTTTAAATTTGAACTAGAATGCTCTAAAGTACCAAGTTATTGAAAACACGCATCTACAGAACGATTAGACATTCATTCATGTAGTTTATCAGCAACACATTTTTTATTTGGGGGTGACTTGCTCTTTAAAGGGAGAGGCAGCTTGCTTTTAGCAACTTCTAGTGTCTGTTTAGTTGAACTGATAGCAAAACCAGTCTCCTCTCAGTGTGTTCATCATTTTAACAGCTGAAATGTCTCCCCAGCCTTCCTTAGTGTCTACAGGAGCAGTTCATTGCTAACTTAAACCTACCCAGATAGCAAATCTTTTTGGCCCTAGTTTGGCAAGTCAGTCTTGGTACTCTTTTGGATGGAATGATGGGCCAAATATGGCCCAAATTAGGCACACCAAAATAGAATTATGGATTGTCAAAAGGTTGCCAGAATCATTTTTGGCACTAGTTTGGCATGCCAGTTTGGTACTCTTTTGGGTAAAGTGATGGGCCAAATATGGCCCAAATAAGGCACGCCAAAATAGAATTATGGATTGTCAAAAGGTTGCCAGAATTCTTCCAAAATAAATTGTGGAATTCCAAAGCACAACCATAACTATACCAAAAGAACCCCAAAACACCACAAAATGGGCAAAGGATATCAAAGTGTAACCATAAGTTTGCCAAAAGATTACCCAAAATAAAATGTGGCTTTCCAAGGCATAGCCATAACCATCCCAAAATCCCACAATAAAGCCAAATATGAACCATAACTTATCCATAATTAGCCAAACTTTTACCAAAATATTGTATTTTATTCTGAACCTTATGCTAAATTTAATTTAACATTTTAATAGATTATAAAATGTCCTTGTACAGAAGATTCAGATGTTGTGCCTCAGTTAAATAGCCTTGTGAAATAGCCTAGGTTACTGTATGTACGAGGTGCATAAACATAAAACCAAACGAGTAAAATTTGAATATTTTATTTATTTGTTTTTATTTTAAAGTCAGTCCTGGACTGGTTGAGGGGTTGGTTGGGCGGGCAATCTCCTTTTGCGCCCTCCGTCCCTATCCCCAGCCCAGTAGAACCATTTTTTAATTGTATTTATAATTTCTGCCTCCGTAGATGCCACACAGACCGGATTCCTTCTCACTGCAGCTGAAAATAAAGGCATACACATGGAGAAAGACTTAAAAAAGGACGACGCAACAGTCCATGCAAAAGAGACCTGTGGTGGGCTAAGTAACTGGCTAGTTAAAAAGTCAGTTTTGCATTAGTTAATGGATGCATCTCGTCATCTGGGGTTGAAAGTGACAGCCAAAGTTACAACATTAAATTGTCATAGTCACTTAGTACTTATAAATGTCCAAAAACGTCATTTCTACTGATTGAACTTGTTTCATTTCTCTGTATGGGTCAGCTCTAGCCTAGTGAACTAGACCAAACTCTTGCTAATAAAATATTTGATATATTTTTTTTAGTCTCGCTTGCCAGGCTAGGTCAGCTCAGCTCTCTCTTTAAAACAAAAGACCAGAGAGTATTGATTAAGATGACGTCATGAGTGCCAAGTGGTAAACCCGTGTATTACACCAGGAATCAGGCCCTCTCCTTACGTTGATGCTTCCTGTGGGATTTTTGGACTAAACCAAACTCCAGGTGACAAGTGATCACCGGGCACTCTGACGAGCTTTCATCCCGGGTTTGGCTCCAGCTGGGTTAGTCAGTTGCCCTGCTGCTGGCAAGAAACTCAGTTTGTCCTCGACGTACCTCATCAAAATATTTAAATCACCCTCAGTCTGAGAGATCCTCTAAGGCAGGATCACGAAGTCTCCTGTCCTACATTAGGGGTTAGCAGAGGAGCTCCTGTGAGTACAGTAACTCTGAATCTAAAGACTCATTAATTAACATCCATACATCTATAATCTGTACCAATTCATCCTCATTAGGTTCATGGGTGAGCCAGTGTCTTACTCACCCAGGACGTGTCGCCAGTCCATCACAGGGACACACAGAAACAACCTGTCACTCAGAGGTGGCAGTGGCGGCCCCAAGGGGTGGCTGGGGCCAACACTAGAAAATAGATGGCCACACCAGAGGAGACCAATGTTCTTGTGAATTATAGTAATTTTCACGCAAACTATAAAATCATATTATTTAATCAGACATAAATGTAAGACCAAATAGAAAATATGCAATTAAAGAATAAATAATCTGATGTTTTAAAAAGTGTATATGTTTCTCCTGCACATCATTTTCAAAACAAAAGTTTAAATCTCATATAGGTTTTTTTTTGCAGATGCTTTTGTGAAGACAGCAATTAAAGTGTTTTAACAATTATATGGTAAATTTTAAAATAAATGACAGTTTCTTTGAACAAAAAATGCATTCTTCAAATCTGAAGAAAGTATGTTGGGTGCATATTGGCCACCCTTATGAAAATTAACTGGGGGTGCCCCTGCAAAGTGGAGTCACCGGTTAACCTGACATGCTTTTGTTTTAGTCTGTAGGAGGAAACCGAAGCGCCTGCAGAAAAACCATGCACGGGGAGAACATGCTGGCTCTGTGCAGAAAAGCCACGGTCAGGATTCAAGCCTGTGATCGCTCCGAGGCAACAGTGCTGTGCCACCACGCAGCTCTGCTTCTTAATATCAACTCTTGAATGACATTTTTTTCCTGTCTCAATGACTTACAAGCACAACCTATAAATAATAAATAAGTAGCCTCATGAAGACAGACAGATCCAAGATAATGAGTAATGTTCCATAAGGATACAGAGCAGCTCCCAGGGGTTCTGGACACTTGTCCTCCATCGTAGGGGGACAAAACAGGACACAAAATGTCACCAGCTCACGTCTCTCTGGTACTCGGATCTAGAACCGATTTAGCCGTGAGCAGTAAATGCTCACATTGTTTGCAAGGTCTTTTCTCACTATGGGGCTTACGCTACCCTTCAGACATTCTTTAAAAGTTTGACTCAAAAGAGTTTCACTTCAACTGAATTTTACCCCAGATCTAAAATAAGTTGCTAAATTAGTTTGACTTAACAAGAAAGTCTGTAGATCTAGAGGTTCACTTTCCTTCATTTACCCAATATTATTTGCCCTTTTCAGTTTTAATTGTAAGAAAGTTTCTTATAATAAACGCTTCAGCTTGGGACTAATTAGGAGAGACAAATGAGCGAGGAACGTGCAACGGCCAATTAAACGTGCAGAAAAGCTCATTATATCCAAGAATAAGACTATAAGAGAGGAGAGAAAACTTCTGTTGGGTTCTGTAAACACGTGCGTGCGCACGCAAACACGCACACTTACACAATAGTTTCTACAATATAAAAACACATAAAGCAGATTTATTTCTGCTCTGGTTTCACTGAAGTCCAACAGCAATATAAGAAACTGGATAGTGCTGCATGCTTGTGTTATAATTCACTTCTTAGACGATGTGAAACACAAATTTGTTCGTGCAATAAATAAATATTAAACTGTATTTTGGAAATGATCATAAAGTCACTGCATCCGACTCCTTATTTTGTAGGGAGAGAAAAAAGAGGTTTTGGTTTGTTCACTGGGGATGTGATGACATATGTTTGTAATATTCCTGAAAAAAAACATTTTGCCCTTTTTAAGGAATAATTGATAATAAGCTGGTGATGTCGTGTTCGTCTTTTCAAGATAAACACCACATTTATAAGCTCAGATGTGTCCAGATAAATAAAAAATCTTTTGCAGAAGTTTTTTGATATAAAGAACCAGAAACTGTGCGTGCAGACTGAAATGTCAGACAGCATTATACTGCAGACATGCTGTGAGCTAGCTGTGTCAGTTTTTGTACATTACGCCATATGTCACTGGTCTGGGTCCATTCCCCCACCTCCATGTGGACAGTCTGCTCACATCAAAGGCAGCAGAGCTTCTGTCCAGTTGTGATTACTGATGGATTAAAAAAAAACGTGTGATTCAGCTGGAACTGGGCACCAGCAGATGCATGAGTCACCCACGTCACCGCAAGCTTGTTTACTAACACTCTCTCTCCTCTCACACAAAAAGTAGCATGGCCTGCAACTGTTACATCTGGTCATGCGACCTCTTGTTAGCAGCCTACAAACCCTGTTTCTCATCCAACATCCTCAATATTTATTAGTCAGAAGGAGAGAATGAAAACAGATGTTCAAAATCTGAAAAAGCAAAGCGGTGATAAATGTTACACGTGCTCGGTTTTGTCTGATTGTCAGGTCCTACAGAGAAATGTGCTATTCTGTACAGCTGTTGGCAGCATCAGCAGACCTCATCTGTAGAATTAAAGGATTTTAAATTCTGTCTTTCAAGAACAGCAGCGTCCTCTGCTGGTGAATCCTCCACATGACACCCAGACAAACCAAACACAAATATGAAAAAACATACAGGTTGTGGAATAGTTTTATGTTTAATTCTGTGTAGACATTATTGTCTGCATGCATTACTGGATGCAAAATGCAACTTTTTTGCACATTTTTAAATACCTGCACACTTATCGTTTCTCCTACCCTTCCTGCAGTCTAACCTCTAACAGCTGTAACAGACACATTAAGCCTGCATCAGTCAACACATCTCAATGGCTTTTTGTTTTTTTTCTTTTTTATGCTCCAACACCTGTCCCTTGCCATCAGACAGCCCATAATGTGAGAGTGCTGCCATCTCTGCAGAGGAACAACAGCTCAGTGACAAAGGATTTTTACTCAGGGGAACTCAAATGTAAAAGCAGGTAAGTCCCTCCTTGTCAAAGGGTCAAGATTGGTCAAAGAAAAGGCAATTTAAAGACCTTTAGGTTGTATCAGACCTGTGTTTTGTTGATTACAGCGTTCATCTGTCCCTATAGTGGCTTTGCTCCATCTATTTATAGGCCTGCAAGGGCATTCGTCTAGAGTCCATGTAGAAATGTCATGTAGGACATGAGGGCCTTTCAGCATTCATCTGTAAATGTGAAGGTCAAGAAACTGCTTCGGTTTTATTCATGGAGTGAAGAACTCAACCTTTTACCGCTGTCAGTCAATGAAACCAAACCGAACGATGATTTCTTAAAGTAAACAAGTTGCATAATGAGCTATCTCCTTATTACAGCTCGTGTAACAGGTATGTAACTAACATTTAAACGAAACCAACACATTTGAGCTTCTATCATCTTTCTGTGTCTGTTTCACTCAGAGGAGGAATGGAAGAAAGCTATGAGACGTTTCAGGAGGAGTTATGGCCTCCCAGAGCAGACGCTTCTCTTAAACCTGTTCAACGGATCCGCAGAGCAGGTGGTGGGAGACAAACACACAGACACTGAATCTGTCATTCCTATATTTAAATGTTTATACTGAAAATTATTTGCACAGCTTGTTAAACCTCAGCGACGAAACAGAAACCCGCTGAAATCAGATGATTTACCTAAATGATGCCGAAAAATCAAATTAACGTGTTAAAATGTAACCACAAGGACGTTTTTAAGTGACATAGATCAATGCTAAACATGTAAGTGACTTTTCCTGTGTTCATTTAGACTAAATGTCTTTAAACTGTTTTTAGATGGTTATGATACATTTATGTCTCAGTCACCATATTTTAGTTATGTCCAGATCCATCCCAACTTTCATATTCATTTGTGCAAATAGTTTTAATGTTAAAGTAGTTTTTAATACAGTCTACATTTAGAGCAAAGTTCATTTGATGTACATTTTTATTAAATAAAAAAGTCTTATGGATCAGTAAAGTATTTGTTTATTTAGCGAAGGCTTTTATCCAACTTACATTCCATCAAACATGCATGTGTTTGGTTTGTTGGAGGAAGCCGGAGAACCCAAAGAAATCTCACTCATGCATGGGGAGAAAATGCTAACTCCAAGCCAAAAGGCTGCAGCCAGGATTCAAGCCTGCAACCTTCTTGCTGCTAGGCAACAGTGCTACTAGCTACGCCACAGTGCAGCCCAGAAGTACTTTTGCAGAAGTAGAACCACCACCTTGGTGCAGTAAAACATGACTTCAAAGATTACATCAAAATACAATCAGTATAACACAGAGGTGGTAGTATCATCGTTTGGGTCTTTTTCTTTATTTACTGCATCTGGAGCTTCCTGTTAGCTTTAAGAGAACATATTTTAAAAAGGAGATAGCAATCCTAAAACTCAGAAATTCAATAAAAATGTTATATTATGTATTTTATTGTACTGAATGAAATAAAAGTCTCATGACCTTTTTTATTGTTGTGTTCTTTTGGTAAATTTTAATTTTCCTTTTCCAGAAATGTACACATCAAGAAAGATCAAAGAGGTTAGCCACAAAACAAACATAACGAATTATCTTCAGATTCTTATGTATTTACCTCTTAACATATCATTGTTGTTGTTTTGTTTTACAGGAAACACCTCTTGCTCCACTGCAACCAAAATCAGAACCCAAAAGCTTACCCAGAGAGCCCAGCACCTCCAAACTTAGTCTGGGTGTGGTTGTCATCTTTATGTCTCCTGTTACCCATCACCAGTTTTTGACTTTTAATGACCAGTTTTCGTTTTGTTTTCCGTCGCTCATCCAGCATCTTTGCAGAAACCCATGTCCACCCAGAACCTGATGCAGACAGAAACACCGTGGGAGAACGTGACCCTTAATCGCTGTCTGTTTGTGGCCATCACCATTCTGGTGCTCACCTCAGGCTTTCAGAAACTTCATGGTAAGTAAACCTGTTAATGTGGGATCGCAGGTGTAAAATATGACTATTATTTAAAAAAAAAACATTTTCAAAAATATCTACAGAAGCCTTTCGTGGTCAGGGGACAACAGAACAGGGAGAAGCTGGACTGATGATACAATCAAGACTGTTACACCACAGAGGGGCATTGCCAGAGGTTAACGTGCTTCTAGAAGTTTTTGTCCAACATTTTAATGAAATAGTTCAAAAATGCCGTGTTGTTGTCTCTTCTGAAGCCAGAGACATCTCTGTGGGACTCTATGTTTTGGTGGTTGCCTAGTCTTGATGATGAAGATGAGGATGATGAAGACATCAAAAGAAGAAAATCAAAGCGAGGAGCATCAAGAGGTCTCAGGAACAAGCCGCTGCCAGACAAAAAACTCTTAAAGCAAAGGGATGGGAAATTAAAGGACAGAAGAGCCAAGAAAGCCAGGGATGACAAAATCAAAGACAAGAAAGGTAAAGTGAAAATAGGAGGTCATGAGGATGCAGCTGATGAAGAGGATGAAAGAGACGAAGAAGCAGTTGGCAAGACAGGAAGATGAAAAACCAAAAAGAAAAGATAAAGCTTAAAGGCTAATGCAGAATGTTTTTACTCTATTTGCTTTAAATTTGATCAAATCGTAACTCGTATGAAGAGCTTAATCAGATGGAACAGCAGCATGGTGTTCTAGCAGACATCAGGTAGCTCCACTGATGTGAAATAACTAAAAAACCCTGTTGACTGAGTCCAGTCAGTTTAAATGATGTTTCATCTTTTTAAATGTTGCTGCATCCTTATTATTCAAGAAGAACGTAAAGTTAATTAGCTCAGAAGCTCTGGTGATGTTTTTAAAGGGAAACTAGGTAATTTTGTCTTGCTTTTAGCACCCTCTAGTGTCCGTTTGCAGAATCAAAAGTAAAACTTATCTCCTCGCTGTGCGTTCGTCATTTTAACACCTTAATTGAACAGCTGAAATGTCTCCCAGCATTCCTTAGTGTCTACAGGAGTGACTCATCACTAAATTAAACAAATCAGCTGTGTTCATGATCTAAAACATGCAGGAAACATTTTTTTTCTAAGTCCCAACAGAGCGGCCTGCCAGTCTGAAGTTGCAAGTGTAATATTCTGGCCACAGGGCAGGGGGCAATAGGGGCTGGGTGGTCTTTCATTAACCCTGTAAAGGGCCATTTTAGCCCAGGAAAATGATTTTAGCTCAGGAAAATGATTTAAAAATATGAAGATTTTGAAATATGTCCTTTTGACACGACAAACGCCACCACACTGTCTACTAGAACGGTCTTGAGCTGTCACTTTGACTGCTGCATTTAAAAGTCAATTAATTCACATTGATTAACTAAATAATGCCTTTTCAACCAAAAATAGCACCCAACTAGACTGTTTTTGACAGGTTTTTGGTCTTCTATAGTCATATTTCTTTTATGTGACTGTGCCATTTTCTCTCTTCCTTTGTGTTTTTGTTATAAAAGACAAAAACACAATTATGAGGAAGAGAAAGACCGATCAAATGCTGGAGATGCTCTTTGACTGTAAAAATGTCCACTCCACTGTTATCTTGACCAGGGAAACCAGTGAGAAAATCACTGGCAGCCAAAATGACTGAAATAGGTAGAAATGATCATATTTACAATTAACATGAAATCCATTACAATGAAATTTTTGTTTTATAAAGTCAGGAACTAGCAAGGCTGTACATTTTCATTTGACCAAGTAATTAAACATGCCAATTGCAAAACATTTCCAGTAATTAGCAGATGCTGAATTATTTTTTTGAGTCCATGTTAGTCACCCAGTGGTTGGAATCCCATCTCCTGGTGTTGGATGTGAATCCCGTGAAACTCTGACTGATTGTGTTGTGAAGCGCCTTGGGGGGCTGTAGAACCCTAAGAAGGTGCTGTATAAATACAGGCCAATTACCAAACCCGCTCCCTGTGCTGCAGCCCAGCTGCTCTCACAGGCTGACTGACATCTGTACAGCCATGCCTCCTGCAGTATCGCACATCCGTCTTATGCATTTTTCCTGTGGGATGTAAGGCTTTTTGTTTGGGTGTTTCATAACTTTCTTTTAGAAACACTCGAATAAATAAAATATATAAAGTGTAGCTGATTCTGCAGCAATGATTATCTTTGAATCCTGGAAGAAAAAGTCCCAGAAAGCACCCTCAGTGTTCTCAGTAGACCACACTTACAGAGTTAACTTCAGGTTTGTGTGCTAATAACATCATTAAGAATAGGCACTTACTAATTTCCCAGCAATAATTAAACGATAAACCTAAAGTAGTCTGTCCTTTGAACCAATGGTGGATTTTGTTTATATTTTTCTGGAGTTGACGTTCCTTTTTAGGCCCGAGCAGCGAAAGCGCTGCGAAGGCCTCTTGTTTTTGCTCTGTTTATTCTTTTTTATTTATTATTCTTAGCCCGCTTTGAATGGCCTTTTGGGGACCTTATCATTCCCCAAAACTCACAATATTTTGCAAACATGTCAGGCCTGGTGAAAAATTTGATATTTTAAAGGTCCCAAAAAAATCGCACAGGAAATGACTGAACAGCGCCCCCTAGAAAGTGAAAAAAAACCCTCCCCATAAAGCTTAGTTTATCGTACAGTTATGAAATTTGGTACACTTGTAGTACTCAACAGTCCGCACAGAAAAGTCTCTTGCAAGCATGGTCAATATCAAACAGAAAGTCGGCCATTTTGGGTTGAAATGGCGATTTTTTGCAGTTTTGGCCGTTTTTAGGGTCCGTTTCTGACTGGATTGCTCGATCACTTTTCGCACAATCGTCTCAAAAGTGGTGTAAAATTGCTCAGAAGAGATGGGCGAAAAAAATGAGACAAGGATTCTGAGTTTTCGTATATGTTGAAGGGGCGGGGCCAGGCCTCAAAGTTTGACTACTCGCCAATTTTTTTAAAATTGCTATAACTTCATAACTGAATGGAATAGAGTTACCAAACTTTCTGTGGTCATTCGTCATCCAACCACAAAGTAAAATGAATGGTCGGATGATGACATCACACAAGCCCCGCCCCCTCAGGACCAAAAAGGTCAAGTTTTACTGTGAAAGGTCCCAAATTGCCCCATTTCACGTAATCACCAAATATTTGTAGCTGGTAACTCAAGACAAGTGGAGGTTGCTTGGCGTCACTTTATGGGAGTTTTCGGCAGAGGGCGGGGCTGTGGCGGCGCGGCGAAGTCAGGCGTACCGCCGTGGCCTTACGTTTGCCTCCCATTTCGTCATTTCTAAAGATATCGTCAGGAAACTTCTTGTGAGTGATCCTAGTCCAGCCCCCCAAAAGATCTGATGTGAACATCCGGTGGGCGTGGCCTATTTTCTGAAATAGCGCCCCCTAGGACCATTAAAACTGTCAGCCCCAAGCCATGCTTTGACTGAGGATTATGAAATTTGGTACACTAATGTGGTGTCTCAGGCCCTACAAAAAAGTCTCTTGGAGCCAAGTGCAAAGTCGCACAGGATGTCGGCCATTTTGGTCCAAGTACGCGATTTAGTGGTTTTCGCACACGTTGTTTGGAGAGTGATGCTCCGTCGCCCTTTTCACCAATCGCCTTCAAACTTCTGCCATATACTCTTAAGTCATAGGGGAAAAAATTCAACCGTCGGATTTTTCAAAAGTTGAAAGGTGTGGGCGTGGCTAAGCCTCAAACTTTGACCTGTCGCCACGCCACTCTTTTTTTCACAGCTCCCTACTGGACTCCTTTTACCCAATCAGCAGAAATCTCTGGCAAATAGCAGTAGACAACTTGAGGTCACTTGGTATCCAGTACTGGCAGGTTTCAGAAAAAGGCGGGGCTTTGGGAGCATGGCGAAAATCGCCATCACGCCATGGAAATACGTTTGCCTCTCATTTCTTCAGTTATCGTGATATTGCTACGAAACCTATGGGGAGTGATCCTAGTCTGACTCTCAAGAGACATAGACATCTGAATTTTGTGGGCGTGGCCTATGTTTTGAAATAGCGCCCCCTAGGACCATTTAAACTATTAGCCCCAAGCCATGCTTTGACTGAGGATTACGAAATTTGATACACTAATGTGGTGTCTCAGGACCTACAAAAAAGTCTCTTGGAGCCAAGTGCAAAGTCGCACAGGAAGTCGGCCATTTTGGTCCAAGTACGCGATGTAGTGGTTTTCGCACACGTTGTTTGGAGAGTGATGCTCCGTCGCCCTTTTCAGCAATCGCCTTCAAACTTCTGCCATATACTCTTAAGTCATAGGGGAAAAAATTCAACCGTCGGATTTTTCAAAAGTTGAAAGGTGTGGGCGTGGCTAAGCCTCAAACTTTGACCTGTCGCCACGCCACTCTTTTTTTCACTGCTCCCTACTGGACTCCTTTTACCCAATCAGCAGGAGTCTCTGGCAAATAGCAGTAGACAACTTGAGGTCACTTGGTATCCAGTACTGGAAGGTTTCAAAAAAAGGCGGGGCTTTGGGAGCATGGCGAAAATCGCCATCACGCCATGGAAATACGTTTGCCTCTCATTTCTTCATTTATCGTGATATTGTTACGAAACTTCTGGTGAGTGATCCTAGTCTGACCCCAAAGAGAGAAAGACAGCTGAAATATGTGGGCGTGGCCTAATTTCTGAAATAGCGCCCCCTAGGACCATTTAAACTAATAGCCCCAAGCCATGCTTTGACTGAGGATTACGAAATTTGGTACACTAATGTGGTGTCCCAGGGCCTACAAAAAAGTCTCTTGGAGCCAAGCACAAAATTGCACAGGAAGTCGGCCATTTTGGTCCAAGTACGCGATTTAGTGGTTTTCGCACACGTTGTTTGGAGAGTGATGCTCCGTCGCCCTTTTCACCAATCGCCTTCAAACTTCTGCTATATACTCTTAAGGCATAGGGGAAAAAATTCAACCGTCGGATTTTTCAAAAGTTGAAAGGTGTGGGCGTGGCTAAGCCTCAAACTTTGACCTGTCGCCGCGCCACTCTTTTTTTCACAGCTCCCTACTGGACTCCTTTTACCCAATCAGCAGGAGTCTCTGGCAAATAGCAGTAGACAACTTGAGGTCACTTGGTATCCAGTACTGGAAGGTTTCAAAAAAAGGCGGGGCTTTGGGAGCATGGCGAAAATCGCCATCACGCCATGGAAATACGTTTGCCTCTCATTTCTTCATTTATCGTGATATCGTTACGAAACTTCTGGTGAGTGATCCTAGTCTGACCCCAAAGAGACATAGACAGCTGAAATATGTGGGCGTGGCCTAATTTCTGAAATAGCGCCCCCTAGGACCATTTAAACTAATAGCCCCAAGCCATGCTTTCACTGAGGATTACGAAATTTGGTACACTAATGTGGTGTCCCAGGACCTACAAAAAAGTCTCTTGGAGCCAAGCACAAAATTGCACAGGAAGTCGGCCATTTTGGTCCAAGTACGCGATTTAGTGGTTTTCGCACACGTTGTTTGGAGAGTGATGCTCCGTCGCCCTTTTCACCAATCGCCTTCAAACTTCTGCTATATACTCTTAAGGCATAGGGGAAAAAATTCAACCGTCGGATTTTTCAAAAGTTGAAAGGTGTGGGCGTGGCTAAGCCTCAAACTTTGACCTTTCGCCATTACTTGACTTAATAACTCCCATGTGCATGATCAGATCTTTTTCGAACTTTGTCTGTGTGATCATTGACCATATCTGTAAACAATGACAATGTGGACAGCTGACATCATCTAAGCCCCGCCCCCTGACTAAAGGAAGTTATTATTTTATGCTGAAATGCCCATATTTGTCCCCTCTAATTTAGTCAACATGACACCTAGGTCATGCACTGTCTTCATGATGCTGTAATGGCCATTCAAATCTGATAGCTTTCCAGAAAGGGAGGGGCTTTGATGCCATGGCGAATTCTTGCGTATGCCGTAACCTTACAATTCAATTTAATGGTGAGCTCAGAGGGGATGCTTAGTCAGGGTGAGGTGCGGACTAGGAGGCCATTTGCTGTTTCCGGTGACGGGATGATTGACGTTTCTGTTCTGCCAGACATGCCCTGGTTCCCCGGGCTGCCGGCCAGGCCGGAGCGGCGCGGAGCTGCGAGGGCCGAACGACGCTGCTTGCAGCTTTAATTTAAAATCCTTTTTATCTATCCTTATCCAAGATGGGGTCACTGACTTGTGCAGCAGGTTTAACTGTACACACACTGCTCTTCTGAATGCATGGAAACACACACACACACACACACACACACACACACACACACACACACACACACACACACACACACACACACACACACACACACACACACACACACACACACACACACACACAAATAATGCAAAGCAGCAGATTTGTCATAAAACTATATTTATAAATAAAAAGACATTTTCCTTGATAAAAGTGGAGTGAAAGACACGGTAAGAAATGTTTTATCAGACAACTGAAGAGTCTCTGGTTAGCAGATGGGAATAACAGTATAGTGTAACAATGACTCTGAATGCTTTAGTAGAACTTTGTAAAATCAAACAAATGTTTACTATGTACTTAATAGAACAAATTACAGTTAAAGGAACTGCACTTTCTTTACTTCTCTTTTGCAAGGTAAATATTAGAAACATCTGAATAAAGTTGAACAGTTAGTGTTCCCTCAGCATTTGTTGTCTCGGTTTAGATTAATGAGTGGGAATAAAAGAACAGAAGGTTTTTTTTGCTGTTTTGACACGGTCAGGGGTGGAGGTGGATAAAAAAGGACATCAGAGGAGGGGAAGGAAGAGCGAAGAGAGCTAATGAAAAAGAGAAATCCTCTTCCTCGTTTCCACCAGCACCTTGCCCCTCCCTCTCTTTGTCCTTGGATAACCCCGCCCATGACACACACACACAGAGAAAGACACTTTGGTTCCATGTTGAGCGTTTCTTCACTGAAGAAAGTATGAGCATCACTACTAGGAGGAAAAGCACAAGTAAGGAGGAACTTTGTTTTTCTTTTCATGCAGAACTGGGATGGTGTCATTTATGGTTGTAAAGAGTGTAATCAAGGCCTTGAGTTGTAGCTTTTGCATTCTTGCCTCTCTCCTAACCGGTCAACCCCCCCCGGGTCACATCACATCAACAAAGAACTCTCCAGCATTGCCCACAGCCATACGCAGAGACTGGCGTGATGCAGTGAGCTCAGGAGGCACGGAGGGCAGCTCTCTGCCTTGTGGGGCACCAGGAGCAGCAGTAGACAGATGTGCAGGCTGGGGAGGCAGGCCAGGGGGGCCGTAGACGAGGCCAGGCCCATAGGCTATTGAGTGGGAGTTGGCACTGCGATGGCTCACAGAGCTACGGATGCTTCTCTCACTGGGGGGCGCCACCGAGCGCTCACTTGGAGCTTGGTGGCTCCTGATCTCCGACTCGCTGCCGCTGCCACCAGATTTCCTGCCATCGTTCTTGCTGCAGTTAGAACCACTGCTTCCTGTTAGGAAAATCAGAAGAGGCTATTGTTAACGTGAGATCCAGTTAAAACTGATGATCTGATATGAACACCTAAACCTAAAGTTGGTCTTAAAGCATAAAAATAACCATTTATAAATCACAAAGCCACCATCAAACACAATCGAGCACTCTTATGCCGTTTAAATGGTTTAGATTAGATTGTAATTTATTTTCCACTAAATTTTGCACAAGATAGTCAACATCCACAAAAATGAAGACAGCACAAACGAGATAGTGTGTTAGTGGGTCCAGCTGTTGTTGGTCAGTAAATAACTCAGCAGAATAAGCAGACTGTGTTTCCCCTCTCACACACTAAATACACACAAGCCTAGCTTTTAAAAGCAGCAGCTTGGGGTTGTGGAAGAAGCCTTTCCCCCTTACCGACTGAACTGAACTCCATTTTGAAGTACACTTTTGCAGCTATCTGTCGGGGCTGCAGCTTTAGGGTTAAGCTATTCAAGTGAAATGAAGAAACCAATAAAAATGTTGGCTATGTGCTGGGAAAGGCTCCAGAGTCCGACTGTTAAAGAAAAAATGTGGCACACGCTGTTCTGTTTACTGGATAAAACAGCAGAACTTAGAGAACGTTTTTCAGGTTTGCTCCTGAGAACACGACTCACTGCCGCCTCCAGCAGCAGCATTACCCTCTTGTGCGTTAAGACAATAAAGTATCATTATTTGCATTTGCTTATTAGACAACTTTAGTGAGGATAAAATAAACAGATAATAATCTAACTGTTCGTTGGGTAAACATAGCTTTCCTGAGTTTACACAATAGTCTGAAGCCAGACTCACCACTGTGCTGGCTTCCTGTGCTGCCAGCGCCCGGACCACCAAACGGCTGTGGCAGGTCATAGGGATGTGGAATAGGAAACTGATACGGCAGTGCCATTGGCCAAGGAGCTGCTCCAGGATGGGGCAGCGGGGGGACAGTGTCCTGGTCTGAGGCACCCCCACTTGAGCCGTCATGGTCATGTAGGGACAGGTGGGTCATATCTGAAGAAAACAAACACATAAATTAGATTATGACCTTTAGATTGACCACATTTAGTTCGTACATAAAAAAAAAACTACACTTCAAAGTCCACTCACTGCCACAGAGGTCTCCAAACACATAGTAGCACTGTTCAGAAAAGGTGATCTTGTTGACTGTGTGTCGAATGTAGCCGACTTTCAGCAGGTTGCTGGCGTATTTTCGTGCTTCCCGGCGATCTGAGAACCCTTCCACATGGTGGAAGAGCCAGTCCACCACATCAGAACCTGAGGAGGTAGAATAGAGAATTTATTTTCTGACATTTGACTGCTAGCTGTTACATGACGTTATAAAACCTGTGATGAACAACAAACACTGAAAAAATATGTCAGAACATCGCACGTCCCACCAGCCGCCCAAACGCTTCAACAGAGCAGCGACTCTTGTTGCATGTAATGTAATTACTACTACTGCAAAAGCGTGCGTCTTCTGTGCTTTGGAATGAGCTTCTCTCACTGTTAAGCAGTCTCCATCACTCACCGTCTTTTAAAACCAACACTTGGATTTAACACTGGTTTGTATTTTAGAATAATAATTCACGTGTTGTGACAGAGTCCAAAAGGGTGGTCTTATAAACATACCAATAAAGGCATTAGCGATGGTTATCTTCAGCCACATCCTGTCCCGCACCTCCAGGCCCGACTCAGGACAGGCCATGGCCTTAGCAACCGTTGCCATGTCGCTGTGGATGGAGAGGTGGAAGTCATCGAACCCTAGAAGACAGACGAGGACACACAAATATGTAGTTTTAAAGGGATACTTTGCAACTTTTTCATAATTTTAAATCATTTTCTTGAGCCAGTATGACCCTTTACAAAGTCAACAGCAATTTGAACTGATCCAACAACACAGATGCTTTGTATAAGAAGGGCCAAGTTCATGGTTTTTTAGTGGTCAAAGGTTACAGCTTATCTGTATGTGCATGTACCTTTGTTATTATTTTTCTTCAAATTATTCTCTTAAGTGTTGGTGTTGCTGTAGCAAGAGAATGTCCCCAGTGTGGGATCAATAAAGTCTATTTTATTCTATTAATGAAAGGCCTCTATCACCACCTGTGGCCAGAATATTCCACTTGCAACTTCAGACTGGCGGGCTGCTCTGTTGGGACTTAGTCTGGTTCTAGAATGTTTCCTGCATGTTTTGCTCAACTCAACTTTATTTATAAATCGCGCCTTACAGGCAAAAACATGCCACCAAGGTGCTACACAGACCAAGTAAAAACATAAAACATTAGGTCCAGAAAATAAAAACATTGGATCACACGATACAGACAAACAACACAGTGAATGTGTGGGATCACTTTAAGTCAAACAATAAAAACTAGTTAGAAAGATTAAAAGACAGATCATAAAAGTAGGTTTTTAGCCTTGCCTTAAAAACCGTCACAGAGGTGGAGGCCCTTATGCTAAGAGGAAGCTCGTTCCAACGCTTAGGACCTGCCACAGCAAAGGCCCTATCACCACGCGTCTTTAGGCGTGACCTTGGGACCGAGAGGAGCATGAGGTTCTCCGAGCAGAGTGACCGTGCAAGGGTGTACGGTTGAAGCAGTGACACCAAGTAAGGAGGGGCCTAACCATTTGACGTTTTAAAAACCAGCAAAAGTAACTTAAAACGAATCCTTACATCAACGGGCAGCCAATGAAGCGCAGCCAGGACAGGAGTAATGGGGTCATACTTGCGCCTGCCCTCAAAACCTGGCAGCAGCATTCTGCACTATTTGCAACCTGGCTATTGAGCCCTTGTTACAGTAGTCCAATCACACCGTAATAAAAGCATGGGCTACCGTCTCAAGATCATGTCGTGACAAGAAAGGTTTGATCTTTGTCAGCCGACGAAGGTGGAAAAAGGAGGAGGAGAGCACTCCATTGATGTGGGTATCAAAACTAAGGGCGCTATCTAGTTTAACACCAAGATTAGTCACTGATGCACTCAGCTGGCCATTAAATGACCCACAGTCAGTTAGGGAAGAGTCACAATGTCTGCTTGGAGCAAACAATATAGCCTCTGTTTTCTGATCATTTAAGCTCAGAAAATTTCCACTCATCCAGGCCTTGATCTCCCTCAAACAGTTCGTAAGAATAGAAATAGAGAGACCACTTGACGTGTTCAGAGGCAGGTACAGCTGACCATCGTCAGCATAAAGGTGGAAGTGAACTCCAAGCTCACTACAGATGTCACCTAAGTGCAGAATGTAAGTAGAAAACAACAAAGGTCCCAATATCAAGCCCTGTGGTATACCCCCCAGGGTAAATCAGAGTACTTTGAGGAATAACTTCCCATCCTTACACACATCTTTCTATTTGTCAGGTATGATCTGAACCACTCCAGGGCTAACCCAGAAATCCCGACATAATGGAGACGGTGAAGCAGCGCTTCATGGTCCATCGTGTCAAAGGCTGCCGTGAGGTCCAACAGAAGCAACAACACAGAATTACCGCTATCAGTAGCTAGATAAATGTCATTGAGCACTCTATCCAGTGCAGTCTCAGTGCTGTGTAGAGCTCTGAAGCCAGACTGGAAAGCCTCAAAAATGCCATTCTCATCCATAAAAACCAAGAGCTGGTGGTAAACACATTTCTCTAGTGCCTTACTTAAGAATGGAAGTTTAGAAATGGGCCTGTAGTTTGCAGACAGTGAAGCATCCAGTCCAGGCTTTTTGAGCAAAGGTTGAACAACCGCCTTTTTAAAATCACCAGAGACTACGCCAGAGCTTAGGCTCATGTTAATTATGTGCAATATTAGAGGGGTGACTACTGGAAAGACTTCTTTAACCCTCCCACTGTCCTAATGGGTGTGACCCCATGAGGAAAGCTGACCATTGAGCAGGGTTGATGGCTTATCCCTTGGGTCCATGTGGCAGGGGTGAGGAATGAGCACCGCCTCACCCCTGCCACGTGGGCCTCAAGGGATAAACCATCAATCCTGCTCAATGGTCAACTTTCCTCGCGGGGTCACCCATAAAGACGGTGGGAGGGTTAAAGAGGCGCTTAGGCATCACGTCACCTGGCAAGCCGCTCGGCTTAGCCTCCCCAACAATCTTGATCAAGTCATCTAAACTAATTGGTTGAAATGCTATCAAACCTCTGATAGTATCGCAGAAGGGCTTTCCCCATAAAAAAGTCAAAGAACTCATCACACATTTTAGCTGAAGCCTGCACCAAATGGTGATCAATCACTTTCAAAACTGAGTTAATTGCGGTATAAAGTACTCTAGGGTTATTTGAGTTTAAGGAAGTGAGAATGGAACAGATCTAACTGCCTCCTGGTAAGATTTGCAACTGTCACGTAGAGCAATTAGGGAAACATGCAGATTGTCCTTCTTCCACTGATCATGAGCACAGCTGATTTGTTTAATTTAGTGATGAATCACTCCTGTAGACACTAACAGGCTAGGGAGATGTTTCAGCTTTTATTAGATTAAGGTGTAAAAAAGACTCTAACCCAACACACAGCGAGGAGATAGGTTTTGCTTTTGGTTCTACAATTGGACACTAGAGGGTGCTAAAAGCAAGCCGAAACTGCCTTGTTCTCCTTTAGAGGTCTGAGATTTTACTTACTAAAAAATGCGGATGTGTTCGGAATTTGCCTAAAAAGATATCTGACTTATTTTGTTTCACCAAAAATGTGAGACATAGCTTAGCCTTGTCCATGAAAAGCACTTGGACCGGACCAAAACTTTGCTCGTTTTCACAGAAAATGCAGCAGCTTTAAAACAGCCAGACCATGGAATATTAAACCTCCCCACAACGGTGATTCCCAGCTGGGAGTCCACACCCCTGTAACAAAGTGCCAAAAGCAACAGGAAGCATGCCAGGGTTTCACTGCACCGGGGTTGTGAAAATACATTTTGCACATGCACAAATAATAAATCTATTACACGAATCCAAATGCTGCACAGAGATCAGTAATAATGCATTTTCTGTAGTTTTACACACAAGTGGCTGCACGGTTTACACTGACTGAAACAAAACCCAACTGTGCATCTTATGACGGCTGAAGCTAGTTTTACTTTTCTGCAGCCGCATGTGAAATATAACCCACAAAAATGAACCAGATTCATGACAAAACAACGAGAATGATTTTTACAGGTCTTATCAAGTCAAGTGTGATTCTATTTAACCCAAATATTCAGGAACATAGAAATGAAGGAAGGAAACATTTTTCTCGACAAATGAAGCTAAAACATCCCAGTCGTTTCCAAAGATTACAGAGAAGATTAAACTTGTGAGTTATGGCTCCGCTTAGACCGGGAGTTATCCAGCAGATGGAAGCCGTGAGGCTCCCAAATGGAACAGAGACGAGTCACAGGAATGTGGTTTAAGGGCGAGGCCACACTAACAAACATGTCTGAGGAGAATCGGAGTATTAATAAAAGACTGATCGTGAAAACGTTTAGTTGGTGCACCTTTCACAGCAGTGCAAACAGTCAGATAAACAAACAAATGACAACAAATAAGAAAATGTGCTTAAACTACCGAGGAGCGAGCGATGACAGTTGATTTGAATAACAGTGCCTCAATAACAAGCCACAACAGGCAGCTGCAGGGGGACGACATGACTCACGTTCAGTCTCGGGGATAGAGCTGCTGATGGAGGAGCTGGTGGAGGTGACGGTGCTCATGGAAGGGCTCATCCCGTAAGCAGGGTAAACCCCGGTCATAGCGGCGGTGTGGGACACCCATGCAGCCGGGTCGATGGGCCGGATGGGCTCACCTGGTCAGTGTAAGGAAAGCAGACGGAGTGACATTAAAGTAAAACTAGAAATGAAATCAATCCGTCATTTAGATTTATGAGCACTCCAGCATTTTCACAGAGAGCACATGTAAAAAAGAAAAAAGAAAAACCAGAAACAAGTACTCACTCCTGGGCAGAGCAAAGCAGCTCCGAGGGTTTGGGTCCCAGCACTTTGCAACAGTCAAGGTGATGGGGCTGCAATAAACAGAAACATCACCAAGACTCAGACGTGTGTTTTGTGGGTCTAACTATAGAATGTTGTGTGTGTGTGTGTGTGTGTGTGACGGACCCTGGCTTGTGCACGATGTCCCTCAGTACTCGGACTGCGTCGTCGTTACTCATATTCTCAAAGTTTATGTCGTTCACCTTCAAGCGGGAGAGAAAGAAAAAAAAAAGTCTGAAAATTACAGCGTGTCAGACTGCGTGCATTTTTCTTTAAATTGTGCATAATTCAGAGTGACACGAGGAATGAGACCTTCCACATAAATAATTTACTACAACAGAATCTCAGCGTGCTAATAACTCCCCCTGCACAGGGTCATTAACCGAACTGGGAACGTCTCAAAGCAATAAGAAAGTTTCCATGTAAACATCTTTACAGCATGACGACAAACTAGATTAACATCATGAGGAAGAGAATGGATGCATGCAGGGCGAGGAGGCGCAGGCTCTGCTAGCTATGTAAGGACTTTTTTCCAAATGCATGCATGGGAATGATAATATGAAGAGGACAAAATTATATAAACAAACAGACCAAGGTCAAAGGTCCATGCTGAAAATATGCACCGTCTTTCCACAAACACACACCTGTAAGAGCATGTCCCCAGGCTCTATGCGCCCATCTGCAGCCACAGCCCCTCCCTTCATGATGGAGCCGATGTAGATCCCCCCATCTCCCCTCTCATTACTCTGACCCACAATACTGATGCCCAAGAAGTTGTACTTCTCTGTGAGGGGGAGAGAAGAGAAAGGGTTATCCCAGCCTCCTATGTAAACAGAGCAGTTTGTGCTGCTGAACAGAAGAGGCTTACCCATATTAAGAGTGACAGTGATGATGTTTAGAGACATAGTAGAATCTGTGATGCTGCTGAAGGAGGATGACTGGTGGATGAGGTCATGAAGATTAGGTAAAAAATAAAAATAAAACAGAAATAAAAGTCACAACAGTTACAAACTTGTTTTTTTTTTTACTTCACTTGAAGGAAAGTGGAACCTCACCCTGTCCATATTGGAAGCTTTTGGTTTCCGTCGGCGACGGCGGTGTCGTCTCATTAGTCTAGAGGAGCTCTGCTCAGTAGAGCTACTAAACCTAAAGGGAGGTAAAGTAAATATATTATATAGCCTACCATTGTATGGTAGAATAACTAAATATTACAATAAACTGAATGTTGATACGACTCTCTGTGTTTAGACATATTTCTGAAGCCCTTTTCTCATTTGGAGCTAGGATGCCACCATATTAAACTCATTATTAAACCATAATCTGACCTGCTGGTTGCATCATCATCTTCTGAATCAAAGCAGGAAGTGGACTCCAGCTCGCTGCTCATGAAGGACGAGCAGCTGTCGTACTCAGCCCCTCCGCGGCCCAGTGCTCGTGATGGAAACCCGTTCTGTCTCCCACCTGCAGCAGGGCAGCATTGCACGCACACACGCGCACACACGCGCGCACACACACACACACACACACACACACACACACACACACACACACACACACACACACACACACACACACACACGTAAAATTTCAGAAAGTTCTAATAAAAATGCTAAAAAATGGAAGTAAAAGCTATATATGTTTTTATTTATTCAACATGGTAACTGTAGCTAGCAAGACACAAAGGAGGGACGACAAAGCTGAATGTGTAACTACTAAATCAGAAACATAATCAGCAGCACACGTCTGTCTGACCATGATCGTTTGAGGGTTTCCGTCTCGACCTCTCTCTCCGCTGCGACACCACTGAGCCGGTTTCTGTGTCATTGTCCAAACTGTCCCGCCCGCTCGCTGCTTTCCCACTTCAAACAAAACAGAGCAGAGCATTAATCCCAGTTATTATCAGAGCAGCTGAGTTTACACAGATATTTAGATTAAAACCCTGACTGCAGCCACCTTCAGAGGCGCTGATTTTGTGTGTGTGTGTGTGTGTGTGTGTGTGTGTGTGTGTGTGTGTGTCTCATTTTATTACACATCTAACAGACGAATATCTCGTAAGAGTTTAAAAAACCTGAGCTCTAACTCTTATCTCTGTTTTGATTTCCAGAATAAAGCCGACCCGTTGATAAATGTAGCAAAGTTGCGTTCGAGTTTCTCGCCTCACAGGATGTTTTCTTTTAATTTACTCAAATTCTCCTAAAACTGTAGCGATTAGAAAACAGAAGTTGCTTTTCTCCCTCACACCAAAAATACAACAGACCACAGAGTTTGTTCTTCTGAATGTACTCACTGGTAGGACGGTGGTCTGGAGTCTCCGATGCCCCCGGTCCTCTCCAAAGGTGGTGTGGGCTCTAGACTATCCACTACTGAACCTGCAACTGAATGAGCTCCATCTCCAGAGACCAACTGTCAACAGACGAGAGTGGAGTCATCACAAACAGCCACTGTGTTCATGATCCTGCCTACTGTCACTACAGAAATGATTCCCAGTACCTGATTTACCAATCAACTAAAAGCTCCTTCCTTCCCTTGGAGGGATCGGAGCTGCATGAAGACTTATTGGAGTTGGGCAACAGTTTGGGCCGAGACTCTTGGTTTGTTTACCTGTTGTGTTGCCAAAGTTATCAAGGTGTGGTCTTATGTCACAGACAGGACTTTTATTCATGTTATTCACCATTACGCCCAACAGATTGTACCAACTGTAAAGAAGTCGTCTTCCTCCGCTTATCCGGGTCCGGGTCGCGGGGGCAGCATCCCAACTAGGGAGCTCCAGGCCGTCCTCTCCCCGGCCTTGTCCACCAGCTCCTCCGGCAGGACCCCAAGGCGTTCCCGGACCAGATTGGAGATGTAACCTCTCCAATGTGTCCTGGGTCGACCCGGGGGCCTTCTGCCGGCAGGACATGCCCGAAACACCTCCCCGGGGAGGCGTCCAGGAGGCATCCTGACCAGATGCCCAAACCACCTCAACTGGCTCCTTTCGATCCGGAGGAGCAGCGGTTCTACTCCGAGTCCCTCCCGAATGTCCGAGCTCCTCACCCTATCTCTAAGGCTGAGCCCGGCCACCCTACGGAGGAAACTCATTTCGGCCGCTTGTATCCTCGATCTCGTTCTTTCGGTCATTACCCAAAGCTCATGACCATAGGTGAGGATTGGGACGTAGATCGACCGGTAAATCGAGAGCCTGGCCTTCTGGCTCAGCTCCCTCTTCCCCACGACAGATCGGCTCAGCGTCCGCATCACTGCAGACGCCGAACCAATCCGCCTGTCGATCTCCCGATCCCTCCTACCCTCACTCGTGAACAAGACCCCGAGATACTTAAACTCCTCCACTTGAGGTAGGACCTCTCCCCCGACCCGGAGGTGGCAAGCCACCCTTTTCCGGTCGAGAACCATGGTCTCAGATTTGGAGGTGCTGATCCTCATCCCAGCCGCTTCACATTCGGCCGCGAACCTACCCAGCAAGAGCTGAAGGTCAGAGCTGGATGAAGCTAGGAGGACCACATCATCCGCAAAAAGCAGAGACGAGATTCTCCTGCCACCAAACTCGACACACTCCACACCACGGCTGCGTCTAGAAATTCTGTCCATAAAGGTAATGAACAGAACCGGTGACAAAGGGCAGCCCTGGCGGAGTCCAACCCTCACTGGGAACAGGTCCGACTTACTACCTGCTATGTGGACCAAAATCACGCTCCTCTGGTAAAGGGACTGAATGGCCCTTAACAGAAAGCCACCCACCCCATACTCCTGGAGCGTCCCCCACAGGGTGCCCCTGGGGACACGGTCATAAGCCTTCTCCAAATCCACAAAGCACATGTGGATTGGTTGGGCAAACTCCCATGCCCCCTCCATCACCCTTGCAAGGGTATAGAGCTGGTCCACAGTTCCACGGCCAGGACGAAAACCACATTGCTCCTCCTCTATCTGAGATTCAACTATCGATCGGACCCTCCTCTCCAGTACCTTGGCGTAGACCTTTCCAGGGAGGCTGAGGAGTGTGATCCCCCTATAGTTGAAACACACCCTCAGGTCACCCTTCTTAAAGATGGGGCCACCACCCCGGTCTGCCACTCCCTAGGAACTGCCCCCGATGACCACGCAATGTTGTAGAGACGTGTCAACCATGACAGCCCTACAACATCCATAGCCTTGAGATACCCAGCACGAACCTCATCCGCCCCCGGGGCTCCGCCGCTGTGTAGTTGTTTGACTACCTCAGCAACTTCTGCCCCCGAGATCGGACAGTCTGATACAAATAAATTCACTTTTACAATATTTGCACTTTTACAGGTCGTTACGTACTTGGTTTGACAACAGAGATTTCTTTTTTTTTCCTTTATGTTTTTTTTAATAAAATCAGAAAAACAAAGAGTGATGTATCCGGCTGGCAAGTGAGTCTGATGAGGTTAGGGAATGTAAACAACAACAAAGGTTATGCCGTGTGGAAGTCTTTTTGTCAACAAAGTCAAACAGTTAAATTTTAGCGAGAAATTTCGACAGAAAAGATCCTTTTTCTAGATCTCTGACCTCTACAGCGATTATTTCTAGAATTTGAGTCTTAATAAGTTTACTCGTTGTTCAGGTGAGGTGTAAACAATTAGATGAACAAAAACAGCTCAGGTGACAGTAAAGCACAGCGCTGCCAGATTTAGAGTCTGGCCTGATGCGCTGATGTGTTCCTATCAGGCAACAGGATCCCAGAGGGCCACCAATCAGAGCACTGAAACAACAGGTGAGCAGTGAAAACAAACAAAAACCTGTGGCAGAAGCCACGTATCACTGCATGTGGCAAACGTCTTCAATCTGGGTGGGGTACAAAAACTCATTCCCCACAGAGGAAGTGTCTTTTAACCCAAACAACTAACCACCTTAGAAGACATCATCATAACAAGGGAAAACACCAGGTTTGAGTGAGACTAACATGCAAACAGCCAGTAATAATGATGATGCTTACATAAAACCTTTAATTATAACCACACCACAAAGAATTAGGAAAAATGCATCAAACCTCCACATCAAGACACAAAGACAGTCTTTTAAACTTCATTCTGTCCGTGAGCGATTCAATCTTCTTGTTAGGCAACAACAGTGAGACCCGATCTCACCGAGCAGCTTCTTGCTATCCTGTGATTTCACTTGCTTTTAATCCAATTTAAGGAGAGAGGAATGGAAGATACGAACCACTAATAGATGTCTCTTATGATTGAAATGGGAGAATTATTGCTTAACACACGGTGACTAGCTTGTTGGATCACTTCTAAAAGCTTTTGAGTCATCAACCCAATGTATTTAAAGGAATGTTTGCATCTGCTGCAGTGGATCGATTCACGAAACGGACTTTATTACCTAGATGAGTGAGGAAACTCCCTACAAATGATGCATCATCATGGTTGATGATCTAATGATGCAAATAGAACTTAACGCAGTTTTGTGGAAATAATAAGAATGTAAACATACAAAAGGAGTTTCAGATGCATTCCGAACATACCCATGACACCACACGTCCATTAAAACAGGGCAGCCTAGCGTTGTCATCAGATATTTCTTCCTTTACCACCCTGCAATGAGAACAAAGCTTCTGTCAGCAAATTGCTGCCAACACAAAAGCATTCTGTATTGGAAGTGCCCATCACACAACTGGGACAACATTTGCTGTTTTACAGGTGCACTAAGTACACAACTATTACACACTGAAAGGCCATGCTAAGTGTGTTTGGGAATAACAGACAGGGTTCTGCAAAAACGGACACTAAAATATCAGAGCAGGCGGAAAAACAAAAAAAAATCTGCATGTTTGAGGCAACCAAGACTAGAAAACCCTACTAAAACAAGAAACCTGGTTTAAGCATTAGGGAATTCAGTAATCAAGTACTCTCCCAATAAATATTATACCACCACTATATCTGAGGTAATATATCGATGTTTGGTGAATCTGTCTTCGAAAACAGGATCACCTGACCGGCCTAATTTCAGCACTTTTCCATTTGTTACAAAATAAACAGCAGTTTTAGTTTTCTCTTAAATGCAAATAGTCCCAGTTTATTGCCCCACCCTAGATTTTATTCAGACGGAGGCAATGTAGAAAAGCTGGCATGAGTGGTTAAAGAAAGTAAAATACCACGTTTGGTTCTTCTTGAAAAGAGCTATCTGGAGACACAACCCGTCTACTTTTGGGGCCATGTTTAAACACAAAAGGACGTTCTCATAAAGCTGCCAGAGTGATGAACGGGACATTCCTGCGTCCAGCTCCACATTCCTCTGGCTAATAGACAACAACAGCAGCAGCGGCCTGCTGCTCAGCCTCAAATGACCGTTCAGCAGCCCTTTAGCTTACGCAGCTGACAGCCTGATGTTGCCACCAGTAACTAATAATATTTACTAGTCTTAACCATCGCTGTCTTCGGGTGATCTGCATGAGGTTCAAAAAGTCAACCGATACACGACACTGGTGCACACGTCACCAATACCAAACTTGGTCAGGCAAACCGAGTGTCACAAGCAAGCTACACAGGCAGTGTAAACAAACGAGGGCTGAAGCTGAGCAGATCCGCTGCTTGCTAGCAGCTAACAAAGAAACGGCAGTGCAAGAAGCTAGCTAATAACCGACAACCAGCTAATGTAAAAATACAAAACAATAAAAGAAAGCCGAACGATGAAACCTGCACGTTAGCAGTCATTTTTTCGCAAAATCGTTCTGAAAACTGAAGAATGCTAATGCGGATCCATCCCGGGAACGTACAATCCATTTAACATTTACCCAAAATCATCGTCCATAGATTTGAAGAAGAATTTGTAATTTGGTTTCTTGAGAACATTTTTGAAGTCTGCGAGAGTGACTTTGTCCGCCGGAACAGGCAGCTTCACAAGATACGGCGTCTCCTGGTCGTCGAGGTGGTAGATAATTTTGGTTTCCCCCATCTCGGACTGTGGTTGTTTTGGTAAGGCAGGCTGGGTGCATCAAGCCGAGGGCCTGACAGGCTCCCTCTCGGGCCCCAACTCCCCGTGGCGATGGTGGCGGCTCGGCCGTGGTTCTCCCAAATCTTTCTGGCTCACCAACTCGTTGCTAAACCCTTATTCTGCTTTTTATGGCAGCTCACTGTACGCCCGTTTTTCCTCTGCTGAAAGAAAAAACCTTTCCCTTCCACAAAGCGTCCCAACACTATCCGAAGTAAGAATTGCGTTTAATCCTGTTTGTGTAAAACATTTAGTATGCCGTAGAGATGTTTAAAAAGTAGAAAAAAACTTTTAAAATCCTGCAAGATAAACATTATCAGGAGGGCTCTTTGACTTCTCGGTAACTGCCTGCCAACCTCGGTACTTTTTAGTTGGACACGAAACAGTAAAAAAAAAAAGAAAAACAGAAAAGGAAGACTCTAACCCCATCTGAGATTAGCGCCACCTAGAGGAGAGGAGGAAAACTGCAGGGCAAATGAGGCGAACATCAACTGGCAGCCTCAAAATAAATGGTAATAAAATATATTGTTTCACTTGCAGTTTATGTATAATAAAAACGAAGTTCATCCAATCTAAGCTTTAAGGGTAGACTATGATTTAAAATGGTCACAACATTTCTATTTTTTAAATACGAAATCATAACGTAAGTATGCAACCTCTGAATATTTAGCAGACGCTTTGTCCAAAGCGACTTGCAAGTGATAATGAAGCCAGCAGGTTGCCCTTGAAGCTAACAACAAACACTAACCAGTCAATCCTAGGTGGCAGTAATTAACACTGTTGTAAAACATTCACACGTTTGTAACAAATGCTCGAAATTTGAGGCATTTTTTTCAAGCCAAACTACTCAAAGGTGCAGTGTGTAAGAATATAGTGAGATTTTTACAGTAAGAAAATCCCAAGAGTTTATTTCTGTCATTTTGAAAGGTTCTACTGAAACATATTTAATATCCAGCTGTGGGGATTGTCAGTTTTTCTCCTTTCAAGACAACTGGAGGGACATAACTACTGTTTACCATCAGTGAGTGTGGGGTTGCTATGTCTCTCGTGAGCCAATACTGCAGCGTTAACAATTGCAATTTGGCGGTGGCCGGAATAATAAAGCTCCAGTTGTTTAAAGTGATTGCTGTAACCAAATTTTACCACAGGATGTCATTTTTAACCTCATTTATACATAATGCACCTGTAAGACCACTTGGGTCACAACCATCTTTGATTGACCTCTGACCTTCTAATATACAAAACATTGTAAAAGAAAAACTCATTTCCAGCTTTTTTGCAGTTGTTTACCAAATAGTCACAGATTGTAACGTGCCTTGAGATGACTCGTTTTGGCGTTGGAAAAATAAACTGAATTTAATGAATTCTAAAATCGTTTTCAATATATTGCGGGAATAATGTTTGAAAACTCAGCTATAGAAACTCCTGAGGTCACATTTTAATATGTACAGCAAGCAACCACAATTGATTTTATTGAATGAACTTTGATTTGCCATTACAGACAACACAAAGCACAGAGACAAAAAGTAAATAATATTAACTGGTGGAGTTTTTCCACTGGAGAGATAAGTGTACAAAATGGAGTAAATACAATCTGTTATTTCTGAATTTAAAACTTTACTGATGAAGATCTGAGGCTGCAGTGAGTAGACATGACAATAGAACATTTTTCATACAAATACAAAAAAGGGGAAAGGAATTGGTCTCATTTAAATCTGCTCTGAAAGTGTCAGAGAGCAAAGGGATGGCAGGTTCAATCATCTAGAAAGTCATCATCAAGGTTAACATCTGTGGTGTCAATGTCATCCAGCTCCATGTTGTCCAGGTCTACCTCCAGCTCATCCAGAGTCTGCAGACACACAGCAACCAAGGACACACCATGATTTCACCATTTCATCATTGAGTTGTACAAAATACAGTAAATATTAACAACTTACCTTATCCTTCTGTGACTGAGAGAATGAAGGGATTTCTACCTCCTCCTCCTCTTTTTCCTCTTTCTCTACCATCTTGGGAGCAGCAGGTTCGGGCTGTGAAGGAGTCACTAGTGAAACCGGCGCCGAGCTGGACTCTTCACTCTCTTTCATCTGCAAAAAGAAGTTATAAATGATTAAAAGTTTCATCTTTTAGCCAAACTTCTGCTAAATCGGTATTTTGAATATTATTGAAGGTGCTGTGCAATAAGAACAGGTGTGAGAGGCAATCATTTAGTGTTAAAGGTGACTTAAAGCTACTGCGGACAAACCTTTGGGACATGAGGAACGAAGGTGCCTTGGGGCTCGTACCCCTGAGCCTCCTCTAGAATATTCCTGTCTTCATTGGGCTGAAAATGTGAAATAATAATATAAAAAAAAGTTAAAATAGTTACAGTATTTAGGATTGGCTGGTGCTTTCTTCTAAAAATAAAATTTACTTAAAGAGCAAGTCACCTCCAAATCAACTTTATTTTGCTGACAAACTACATAAATGAGTGTCTAATCATGCTGAAGACACATGTAGTCAATAATTTGGCACTTGAGTGCATCTTAGTTCAAATTTAAATATTCTGTCTAAAACTGTCAGTGTTGTGCCCTCTTCAGGTAAAAACTCTGCACTGCATTTCAATTCAAATCTGCCATCGCTTTTGGCTAAGAGGTACACTATGATGTTAGCTGGGACATTATGATGTCACAATGACCTTGTGAACCTGTGTGTGTATTTGTTAGCAGCTCCGCCCTCTCGGTCTGCCAGGCAACAGCATTTGTTGCATTTTTCAAACAGGAAGTGGGAGTGGTGTAAGACTGGTAGGGGGTGACTTGCTCTTTAAGAGGTCAAACTTACTGTAACAAGAGGATAATCTTTAGCAGGTCTGGAGCTGCCCAAGCAGCTTTCCCTCAGGTAATATTCAGCTGCAAACGCTTCTTTCAGCCCAGGGAACAGATTCTCGTACTCGGTAGGGTCGGCTAATGAATCAGCTGCCTGCAACAGAGGCTTGGTTAAAGCATCCAAACTACTTTTCTTTTGTAAATCATATAATCAAAGATCTTGATGCCAGATCTGACCTTCTGGTTGACTTTGGCTAAATTCTCCCTCCACAATTTGACTACACGCGACACCTGGCTGGGCAGGTATGTGCGAGCCAGGAAGGCAGCTTCTGGAAGTCTGTTAGTCCTGATCAGAAGCTCCAAACATTGGTCCAATCTAGAGCAGAATATGTACGTACATGATCCACAATTAGGGCTGCAACAAACGATTATTTGGATTATCGATTAATCGGATGGGGTCTCGACACGATTAATCGATTAATCGGATTACATGGGGAAATTTTTAAAAACTTCTAGGGAAACGTTATTTCTCTCCTTCCTTCACTTTATTTAACACAACATTATTAGAAAACAGTTCAATAGCAGAAAAACAACATGCCATCACCTAAATTGTCTTATAAGGTGTATAGACAGAGACCCTAAGCTACATCTATCTGTGACCTAAAATGCTTGGTCCAAGTTAAACAGCTTAAGGGCAATTCTCATCTGTTTTGTTTGATCTCATCTGTTAATATTTATTTTAAATGTAATTAAACATAGGCTGTGAATTAATCAAAATTGATCACTATTTCCAAAACTGACTGAAAAAATACCAAATAAAACAAAAGTAAATGAATGCCATCCTCCTTGCGATGATGCCCTGGGCAACTGCCATAAAGTCACATCAAGAAATGCTGCTGATCATTCCAATGATCCCAAATAGACTCACATTAGGCCACATGAAAGCAACTGAACCCAAAAATATATTAACCAGTATATAACTGCACTCTCACACAACACGCCTGCAGCAACAGTTAGGACTCCTCCCTCCCTTTTAAAAGCGTTTTTGCTTCTGAGGACATTGTGGTTGTAAAACCACATGCTAGTAGTCTGGCCCCGGTGTGATCAACCAGTTTCTGCGGGAATGTGACGGCGGAACCAGGGCCAGATTAACACTTTGTTGTACCCTGGGCAACAATATTCAAGGGCTCCATCATCACGACCCAAGGATCACCATAATGTGGTCACATACAGAATATTTTACTGTAATATGCAGTAAATATACTCAATACTTGAATGCCTGACAACACGTAACCCGCCCAGAGTAACCTTTGACCCACCTCGTGTGGACTGACCAATGAGGAGAGGGTCTTAACTTGAGGCCCTCTCTTCATTGGTCAGTCTGCATGAGACTGACTCTCAACTGACGTTCAGTCGTAGGCAGCGAAGCGTCTCTGTGCAGCGCAAAAGCCCGGGTGGACAGTTTGTTTAATATAGGGTGACCATATTTCCATTTCCAAACAAGAGGACAGGGATCTGTGCCTATGACGTCACACTATGGCAACGCCACACAAACCATGTTGGGACCCATTTTTTGTAAGAACTAAATTAATATCAGATTCTGCCAATTAAAGGGCTCTAAAACAATTCATATGTAAATATTTTGCATATTTAATGCAAAATCTAATTTTTCTGCTTTAGTGCTGCAACAAGGTTTTATTAATAATAAATTATAATACCTTTTGTTTTACTACAGCATCGGTAAGCTTCCTGTGCACAGATTATTAAGGATGCTTGTTTCAGCTGTGAGATTAGACGATAGGATCAATGAAAAAATAAGTTGGCACACACTCCATGGAAACTTTCAGAGAATCCACAAATAGTGGCTTTCAAATGGTTTTGTTACTTTTTGCAAGTTTTTAAAAGAAGCAGATGAGACAGCATGTCTGATAATTTAGTTTTTCATCTGATAATATTAGAACATGTCAGTAATGTCTGAGGGGCTTTTATAAACACCATATAACTAACACTACTGGAGAGGGCATGAATTACACAGAGGCTTCTGGGGAGCCCAGTTATTGGGGGGGGGGGGGGGGGGGGGGGGGCATTTTGCCTTGGCCCCCAAAATGTCTTGAAACGGCCCTGGGTGTGTGACTGAGTTTTGAAGGTGATCTGAATTGTATCAGATGTATAAATATGACATGTGTATAACTTATTGTTTTTTACTGGTAAAAACGTGTAGTTTACCTACATTTGACTTTTCAACACTTTGTTTTGTTTTCTTGTTTTTATTTAACTATTTTCCTGTCCTGTCTGTCTCTCATCTTCCTGCATCTCCTCATAATTCTCCAGAAAATCTGTTGCCTGGATTCTTACCTTTTCACCTCATCAGTTACTTTTGAGCAGATCAAAGGGATCTCCTGACCGAAAAGCGCAGAGCGCGTTTTCGATGCTGCGTGAGGTGAAATCACCACAACACAGGTGATGAGCTCCGCAGTAGCGTGCTTCAGGCACAAATAAGACAGAAAATAGAGAACATGTGCAGACATGAACGATCGTGTGCTAATTATAGTTTTTTGGTTGCGCCACTTTGAGAATGGACCGTGCGCTGGACGCAGCTGCCTGGATCGCTGCGCAACAATGCGGAACTGGTTCGCAGCAGCGCAAGTCTGCCGGCTCTCCCTCGCGCTGATCTGCGGCTCTCCCTCGCGCTGATCTGCGGCTCTCCCTCGCGCTGATCTGCGGCTCTCCCTCGCGCTGATCTGCCGGCTCTCCCTCGCGCTGATCTGCGGCTCTCCCTCGCGCTGATCTGCGGCTCTCCCTCGCGCTGATCTGCCGGCTCTCCCTCGCGCTGATCTGCGGCTCTCCCTCGCGCTGATCTGCGGCTCTCCCTCGCGCTGATCTGCGGCTCTCCCTCGCGCTGATCTGCCGGCTCTCCCTCGCGCTGATCTGCGGCTCTCCCTCGCGCTGATCTGCCGGCTCTCCCTCGCGCTGATCTGCCGGCTCTCCCTCGCGCTGATCTGCGGCTCTCCCTCGCGCTGATCTGCGGCTCTCCCTCGCGCTGATCTGCGGCTCTCCCTCGCGCTGATCTGCCGGCTCTCCCTCGCGCTGATCTGCGGCTCTCCCTCGCGCTGATCTGCCGGCTCTACCTCGCGCTGATCTGACTTGCTCTGGTCTGCGCGCAACGGCGGGCGGGAAGGGGGGGGCGCTTTTGGAAGAGTTGTGCGACACAACGAATCGATGACGCAATTCGTTGCCAACGCTTTTAGTAATCGATTTTCATCGAATTTATCGATTCGTTGTTGCAGCCCTATCCACAATCTTCTTATAATTACTGCACACCATGTTTGTCACCACATCAACTACTCACTTCCCCTGAAGAAAGTAGGTCATGAAGGCCACGTTGTTCTTGCCGTCTCTTTCTGCCCCTTCGGCCAGCTTGCCCACCATGGTGGCGTTACCAGAAGCTGTGGCGAGGAGCAGCAGGCCACCGTAATCCTGAGCATGGTGCAGGCACTCCTGGGCCAGGCCGAACTGGCACTTACTGATGGCCAGCTCTGCAAGCTGCTTCCATTTTTGCTCCGACTGCAGAGAAACACATTTTGTTAGCAGTGATGACATGAGTCACAAATACAAAAAGTGTTTGGAAAAGTAACGAGAAAACGACGTGAGGAGACAAAAGCTCTAACCTCTGCTTCGACAGCCAGCTGGTAGGCGATCTTCAGCTCTCCCAGCTGCAGGGCCAACTCAAATCTGTGCTCCGGGTCTGTAGACACCGCCAGAGCCTGCTGCTTGAAGCCCTGACGAGACAAATAAAACCATCAGTGTCAAATTAAAACCACATCTGTTCATTGATGAGGAGCAAAATAAATAAAAAATTAAATAATTGCAGGTCTTTATGGGTTTTCATCACCTGTTTCTCCAGGAAATGAGCCACTCTGGTCCTCTGCTCTTTAGGAATAGTTGGTAGCACCTTGTCTGCCATTCCAAAGTCCCTTCTCATTACAGCAGTCTGGTATTCCAGGACAGAGACCAACAGTGAATAACTGACTATGTTGAGCTCCTTGTCTCCGAGGTACAGCCGGTCATCCTTTGGTATGTAACCCAGCAGGTACATGGTTCTGCAAGGACAATAAAAACTGTGGATGGAACTACGCACCAGTGTTTAGTGTTACTTCTTTATCTAGGTGTGACTGTCCGTTTATCGACGCTGAACTGCTTTTTTCTGATAAATGTAAATGTAGTGCTTGCATGGTCTTATCCTATATAAGTAAGGCCTAAACAACCTGTTCTTACCTGTCCAGATGTGCAATAGTCACAATTTCTCCTCCTACAAAGTAATTGAGTCTGTTCACAGAGCTGGTGTAGATAAAGCAGTCTCCCACCCAAAGTCCAGTCTTCACAATCTCCTGGATCTCCCCCTGGACCTGAGGATAGGACATTCATACAAAAGGTTAGCAAATAATACACGCAAAAGACACACCAGTACGGCTCAGTAACTGTCAGTTTAAAACAGCTCCCTCTAGTTTATTAGGAACGTGCTACAAACACTGCAAAGAGACACAGCTGCCAGGTGAACAATGCGTTAAAAATACGGGCTTCCCGCAACGGGCATTCATCTACACACTGACCTCAAAGGCATCTTCAATCCCGTCCTCTGTCACACCTTCGTTGTTTTCTTGGGAGGCGGCTACTTTCTCTGCCAGGTAACGTAGAATGAAGAAGGACTCCTCCGTAGCAATGCAGACCAATTCCCCCGAGTCTGACCAAAAGATCTGAACAAGCCAAAAAAAAAAAGAAAAGAAAAGAAAAATCAGACTAAAACATTTAAAGCGTGATTCAAATAGAGTATCATGTATGTAAAAGGACAAGGTAACTCAAGTCTTACATGCTTGGGCTGGATCTCAATGCGACGGATCAGCTCTGTGTTCTCCCAGTCGTAAAACGCCAGTCCGTTCACCGACCTAACTCCCAGCAAGAACCCCCCGTAGATCCCTGCAGAGCAGAAATGCAGATCCAGTGAATAAAACGACCGTCTTCAATCTGGAAATCTAGCCAACGGCACTCGTCTGATTACCTTCTGCTCCAAAATCTGGCTTAAAAGATTTCTTTTCTTTGAAGTTTTTGAAGATTTTGACAACACTGTTGCTCTCTCTGATGGCGTATCTGTTAAAGGAAGACAAACAGCAAATGTTAAACAACAGTGACTCAAAATCACCACCCAGAAGGATGATAAAAACATCTTTTCCGTGTGGACGTACTCGGAGGAGTCGTGTGCCCAGACAAACTCTTGAGCTGAGCCGAAGCTCTTGTTCCTCAAAGCCATGGCAGTATAAATGATGTACTCTCCATCTCCGCACACAACAACAAATCTAGTACACACATAACAACGACAAATCAACAGAATTTCTTCCACATTCAACAAAATTCGGATGACGAGTGATGACTTTCTGGGGCTGTCACAAGTGAAACGCGTGTTTTTACCTTCCATTAGGGTTATGCTGGATGGTTTGAGGGTAAATCTCACAGCTACCCATGTCTTTGACAGCCAGTGGCAGTCTCTCTCCATCTTTGATTTCTGCATCCCCCATAGCCTTCAGGTTAGCCTGCTGTATTTCACTGTGCTTAGCCCAGATGATTTTGCCATTAGTGTCCATAGACATGGCTGGCTCCTCCCGACCAACCTACACCGCAGAGTAAAACAAGCGTACACATTTGTACTTTTACCGTTTATTTCATTTTAATGTGGATTTCTTTTAAAAAGTTAATTTTGAGGCATTAGTTTAATCCAACTTTAGATTAAATCTTCCTTTTACTCACTTTGATGATGATGCTGCCTTCATCGTATCCCAGTGCCACATTGTTGGATCCCCTGAGGCCACACACACACCACACTCGTTCCATGCCGTAGTTCAGGGTGCTTTCCAGGCGATAAGTACTCGAGTGCCAGATTCGAACCGTACCTGGAGAGGAAAGACGACGATATTGCACAAAATAACAACATAAGGAGAAGACGTTCCTGTGGATTTTATGGTTGAGGGAGATTTTTTCTCACCATCCTCTGATCCCGTGATGATTATGGGTAGTTCTGGGTGGAAGCTGACACACGAGACATTTTGGGCATGACCTTCCAGAGTCTGAACACAAGTCTTGTTCTACAACACACAGAGAAAGAGGGATATAAATGTATGTAGAGGAAATGCTAGATAAAACTTACAAAGACCAAAAAATAAAATCACCATACCTAACTTGGGCTTTTTCTAATGCGAGATAAAACAAATAGTCTGTACTTTTTCAAATTAATGCAGTTTTCCCCATTTGGTGACTTACTTTAAATTCTGTGTACATGCCACTATAACTATAACCAAATAAAACTTCTCTAACCTGGTAGTCCCAAATTTTGACTTGGCGGTCATCAGCCCCTGATATCAGATAGGGCTTGTCTCCTCCGCTGTAGTAGTCAATACAGTTTACTCCCTTTTCGTGACCCTCTAGAGTGAAATTAGGAGATGAGGAGCCCAGCTGCCAAACCTGTACAACACAAAGAGAGAGAGAACTGTACAAAAATAATCAGACACAGTACGCTTCTTACCACTGACTCCTTTGCACCAAATCAAATATAAAGGAGCTGTTGATCTTACACACATTCATTAAAAACAATAATCCACACTTATATACAGTTTTACATTCCATTTATCCATTTGCACAAACAGAAAAATCTACCTTTATGGTTCTGTCCAGAGAAGCGCTCGCAAACTGGTTGTTGTCCTTGGGGTTGATGACGATCTGCATGACGTAATGAGTGTGACCCTCAAACACCTGACTGCATGTCCACTTTTTCTCCCAATCCCAAAGCTTGATCAGCATGTCGTCTGCACAAAGATAAAACACAATCACGCTCAAGTGCCCAAAAAAAGGATACATAAGCCTAATCAGAGCCACAGCTGCATTTAAAGCTGTAGAAAATATAGGTTTAGTAGGGTAAATAGTGTACCACTGCTAGTGAGGATGTATGGCTGAGTTGGATGGACAGCAATGCAACGGATGTAGTCAGAGTGGGCTTCAAACATGTGGACCCGCTCCAAGGTGTTGTAGTTGAACACACGGATCTGCATGTCATCCTGTGAAGAGAAAAGAAATTATGAATAAAGTAGAAAAGTGTAGTTTTTCCTAAGTTTTCTAGTAAAAGTTTTAACTCTAAAATAACATCAAATAGCAGTTTTACACTAATATACATACATATATATATATATATATATATATATATATATATATATATATATATATATATATATATATATATATATATATATACATACATATATACATATATATACATACATATACATACATATACATACATATATATATATATATATATATATATATATATATATATATATATATATATATATATATATATATATATATATATATATATACATACATATATACATATATATACATACATATACATACATATACATACATATATATATATATATATATATATATATAAATTACAGAAGCTTTTAGAGGTGTAGGCTCAAAACAAATAAATTCCTGTGACTCACTGCTCCTGTGATCACCCAGTTCTTTCTTGCCACAAACTTGGAAGCTCTGACAGGCAGGTCACACACTTCAAACGTCTTGACCAGAGTCTGGAATAAAAACAGATCGACTTTGATTGTGATTTTTATAGATGTTTTTCACATATTTGTTTGTTTATATGGTGCACAGATCAAAGGTTTTACTCTTTGGGTGTATTCCATACTTGCGTTTCGTGGTTCCACACACAGACACTGCCGTTGTACAAACTGGCCAACATCCATGGCTCGGTTGGGTGAAGATCCACACTCTTGACCCGGTCCGACCTGGCTGTTAGCCTCCTCTTGATGTCCAGCCTCAGAGGCTTAAATAAAAATAAACCCAATGTGTTAATAGACACTATTCAAACTGTACTTTGTTGCTGTTAGCTAGTAGTAGCAGAACGTCAACTTAACACCAATGTATCAATCATCAGAAACAAATGAAATTAAAACTGTTTTTTTTCACTATTTCAGTTGATCAGTCACACATTCATCTGTGACTAATTCGTTGAAAAATAAGGATAGATATATGTGACATTAACATTTAAGTTTAAACGTGTTTGAGAGACAATATTCTATGCAAACTTAAGCTAGTTAGCCGCTAGGCTCTTTTAAGCATTTCATTCTTTTTTTTTAAAGATTAAACTGAATCTCGGGTGACATGTATCGAAAAGAAGCACACTTATAACTTTCTAAACTATAGCTTACCATATTTTCCGCCCTGGATGTCTTTGCTAGATCCGATTAACGTCCAATCGAGTCCAAATGTTGCGATTTCAGTGAGCAGCGTTCTGCAGGACACTGACGTGGAACTTCCTGAAACGAAATCTCGCGAGAACTGTGTTGGAACTGCTGACGTGACATGGAAGCTTGTAGGTTGCAAGTTATTTATTTATTTTTTTATTTTTTGTAGGTTGCAAGTTGCTGTTGTAACTCAAATAAAGTTACTGAATTACATGGACATTTTTTAAACAATATTTAAGCTTGTAATTTTAATATTTATTCTAACTCAGTGGTTCGCAACCTGGGATCCTGAAACCCAAAGATTACAGTGGGGTGTGGGATTACCAAGATTATATTTTCAAAAGTTAAATGTATAAAAGCCCCAAAACACACCAAATCGTATAATCAAAACTCTGCATAAGAAGTATATCTTAGGATGCCTGTATAAAGCTTGTAATTATTCACTTCTGATGTGTTCATGAGGGTAAAGGTTGGGGGTCTTGGTTCGTCCTGGACACAGCTTCCTTATCTTAATCTTCTTGGGAGTATTACTATTAAGGATGAGAAGAAGGATGAGTAGAAGCAGAAGAAGGAACAGGATTTTTTAATTTAAATTGTTACTTAGTAAAAACACTTTCTCTAAATTCTTCCAAATAAAATGTTTTGTTGCCTTGACAGAACGGAGAACTTGTGCCCTCTGCTGGCAAAACAACAGAACAACACTTTGGTTTCCAACAGCATTTATAAAAGACGGGGAGATGGGGAGTTGCTGCCCTCCAGTGTCTGAACGCGGGTACTTTTTTTTATTTTTTTACCCATTTAGAAGAAAATATTTCAGCCTCCTTATCTTAATTAAGCTGTAAAAAATGTTAATCTTCCATTTTGTCCTCTTGGGAATAATAAAATTAAGGACGATGAGGAAGCTGAGTAAAAGCAGAAAAAGGAACTGGGTTTTTAAAGTTAAACTAGAAGCAAAACTCTTCTAAATTATTCCAAACACATGTGTTGTTGCCTTGACAGAATGAGGGATTTGCACGCTAACAAATAAAAGACAACACAATGAATAATTAAAGATCATTTATTGATTCAAAATGCTTGGAAAACATGTAGATTCTATTTTTTATCAACCTAGTGACAATAAGGACAGATGCTATTCTTTTCTTTTGAACACTTGAACACAAATCACATCTTCACATGTCAGCTCCTGTGAAACAAAAACTCTCAGTATTATTCAGCATGGCTAATTTCCCTCTGGGATCAATAAAGTATCTTTGATTTGATAAAGCAACCTTAACATGACTGTAGTTCAAGACCCACCAGGTAGAGTTTGTCTCCTTCAATCCAGTGTTTCCAGCCGCGGTTGCATTTTTCTCCTTTCTGCGTGCACACAAGTGTGTCCCCCTCCCATCTTACCAAACTCTACAAAAAACATTTATATTCAAATTATTTAATTAAGTAAAATATCAGTACAATAAAGAGATTAGAGTACACAAGTACACAAGTCTCCTTATTTTGACAGCCTAGTGGGTAATCACAAATATTCTCTAATTGATGCAGACTGAATTAGCAATAAGTTATTTATGTTATATCTGTAATTCCTTTAGTTAATAAACTATAAGTAAAGAAAACCTGACGTCGTCAAACATCACCACTAACACGACATAACCAGTGACCAAATAGAGTGCCTGTATTACTGTTTCACATACAGGGAGGCTGAAAACAAAAAGAAATGTTCACTATAATAAAAGGCAGAAGAAAATCAGTGGAGTGAACAGATGAACTCTCACAGATAATCAGAGATGTCCCAGAATGACACAATAGTTTATTAATTACACAACCAGAGCTGAAACAAACAGCTAAGCCCTTGGCTCAGAGTTTATCAGTGGGCATCAGAGCTTCTGTGGCTACTCATTACACACCTCCAACCTTTGTAGACAAAAAAGATTTTAAGAAGTGTTTTTTGACCAAAAAAGACTAAATGAAACCAGAAAAAACATAAATGTAAAATATTTTGACCCTGAACTTTTCTATAACAAAGTGCATATTTAGCCCAGGGATTATGAGAGGTAGGACATGGATTATTTAGGGTTGTCAGATACAGAAAAGCACCTTTTGATGTGAATTTAAGAAAATACTGGCCAATAGTATTATATTATTATATATTATTAGACCCTATAGATGAGAGGTGGACCAACCTTGACATGCCGGTTGTCCAGCCCCTTGGTGTACTCATCCCACTCCACTCCTACAGTGAAAGCGTGCTCATAATTCCTGAACGTGCTGAGCGTTTTGAAGTCAAACTTGTCTCCATCTTGAACGATCACCTTAGTCTGAGACAGCGAGATGGCAATTTTTCTAGTAGCAAAGTCGATATCTGGGAATGCAGCGTGGAGAGTTTTCATTATGCGGAATATTATCATCTCACTCTCACAGCAGGTGCAGCTCATCTCTTCTGAATGTTCAGAAATGTGAAGTGAAGTTTCTTACTCAGAGTTTTCAAGTAATCCTCAAATTTGTCACTGCTCTCCAGTGTCCATTTCCCGTTGAAGTCTGCAGGCATGGTGGTGATGCTGCGGTGAGCAGACCTGGGGCAAAGTTAAGGGGCAGGGCAGGTTGTTCTCTTGCTTTTATGTAAGTCAGAGGGCACAGGGCCAGATAACTATTGATGAGTGAGTTTATTGCTCTTAAGCAATCGGCAGGGATCATTTTTTATTCTTTTTTAAAGAAGGGAGAAAACCCACTCTCTTCCAGACCCAATTAATTAATTAATATGGTAATTATCATTTTACTCTTTCACCCTAACTTTGGAGATTTCTGCATCTGCCTGACTTTTGCTTCTCTATAACATAAAGCAGATGTTTATCTTGAGTCGGTTGCTTCCAGCGGGACTGCTAACCTTTATTTTCAGCCTCTGCCACCAACCACCTGATTTATGAGGTTATTGTGCCGGTATCGAGGTCACAAGTGCTCACACAGACACCAGATCATCATTCTTTTTTCAAAACGAGCACCAGACACTCACTGCTGTGGTGGTCGGTGTTCTGCAGCAGAAAACAGGAGCTGTGTACTATTTAAAAAAAATCTTTATTTAGTGATTTTCTGTGTTTGAGTAAGTGAAATTGTCTGGATTTGAACATGCAGGTTAATAAAGGTCAACGTGGTTGTGCAACTGAAATACAGCAGATTTTTTATTTAAAGGATGTTTGGTTTAAAACGTGTCTATGTGTCTAGTCACATTCAGCCTGACCCGAGGCAGGAGGAAACAAAAATAATTTCTCAAAAAGACAAACCCCTAGTTCAAATATTATATAGATAGGCCACTACTCTTTGGAATTTTATTTTTTAATTATGCAGAGAAAAGAAAGCTCACAGAGAAACAAACAGGTGATGCTCAAAAAATTAGAACATGGTGCAAAAGTCCATATATTTTGGTAATCCATCTTAGATGCATTAAAAATCTCAGATAATCAGTTTGGATTTAAGTCTGAGCTTGGGACAGATGTGTGCACATATGCTCTAAAGGAGAAGGACCAGATACAGAAACCAGAACTCCTCAGTCTCTATGTGCTTCATAGATGCATCCAAGGCATTTGTTAGAGTTATCCATAGGAAACTTTTCATGAAGCTGCTGCAAACAGGTGCTCCAAGATACATTGTACGCATCCTGGTTTATTGGTGGTCAACAAATGTTACAGGTAAAATGGGGTAACCGTATCTCAGAGCCATTTAAGGTCAGTAATGGAGTCAAACAATGAGGCATTCTATCTCCTCTTCTGTTGAACCTGTACATGGATGACTTATTAGTGAGGTTAAAAGCCTGCAGGACTGGTTGTGCAGCTGGTGATGTCAAGTCCGAGCACCGCTGGTCTACAGCAGCTACTAGATATCTGCTCTGACTATGGGGTAGAACACAACACTATCATCTTGTTCTGATAAGGTAAAGATAACTTTGCTTAAGGCTTATTATACACCTCTGTACACAGCCCACCTGTGGAGTAACTATAAGAAATGTAGTATGCATAGACTCCAGGCTGCCTATAATGACGCTCTGCGTTTGATTCTAAGGAAGCCTAGAAGGACGAGTGCAAGTGAGACGTTTGTAGATGCGAGGGTGAGCACCCTACGAGCAATTTCATTTATAAATGTATTTGTAGGCTGAACGATTGTAAAAGCTGTGATTGTTTTAAATCTGACCGATACCTGTGCCAGTGCACCAGTCAAAACACTGGTGTAACAGTCTTTTTCTCTTTTAGATTACAGGGAGTTACGGTAATTTATACTTTATTTTCACACTACTGTTATTATTGTCTCTTGTTCTTCTTCTCAGGATTATTTTGTCTCTTCAACGTGTCATATGGTGCTCATTTTATTCGATCCTATGTTGTTGGACTAAGAGTCCAGAACAAAGAATACTTGACTTGAGTTAGACTGAGAGACCATCTAAAGCACGGGTGGGCAGCCCTGGTCCTCGAGGGCTGCTATCCAGCGTGATTTGGTTGTTTCTTTTTATACACACCAAGATTGAATCTGCTGGTGATTAACAGGCTGCTGCAGAGCTTGATGAGCTGCTGATAAGGTGACTCATCCAAGAATCAGGTGTGTTGGAGCAGGAAAATAACAAAAACATCCTGGATAACAACCCCAGAGAACCAGGATTGCCCACCCCTGATCTAAAGGCTCAGGAACCCTCTGCAGGTGTTCTGGATCCATTAGCTGATCAGACTGTGACACTTTGAGTTTAGAATATTGAACCTTTTCTAATTGTCTGAAATTTAAAATTCTGGGTTTTCATAAGCTGTAAGCCACAATCATCACAATTACAACAAATAAAGGCTTGAAGTATCTGGCTTTGCATTTAATGAGTCTATCTCATATTTAAGCTGAATTACTGAAATCCAATCGTGAGGGGACTTTTTGAAAACCCAAGTTTAAGATTAAATTTGTGGGTCAATAGAAAACATCAGGACCAGCACTCAAAGCAACGCAGCAAAGAAAAACACTAAATCCTTTAAAAAAAAGACAGAAGTGGACTCTGAATAAGAGAGCAGAGCACCGACTTCCAGCAAGACAGCCTGCAAATTTTATTGGAGGTAAATATAAATGCACTTCTCCAGCGCCACTCTCTGCTTTGACCTCTACCTGAGAGCATAGTTTTTTATGAGCCTAAAGCAAGTGCAAAGAGAAATCAATAAGAACCCTAGAGGGAATCATAAAATAAACAGAACCTGTGGCTCAGCATGCAGCTCAGAGGGAATGCACAAGAAGTAGGGGCAGAGCAACGAGGCAGGCAGCAAAAGCGGTGAGGAACGAGCAAGTGACTGTGACATGGTCTGCTCACATCAGTGGCGGCAACGTGAAGAAGGAGCGGAGAGGGCGACGGATTTGGAGCACAGTGAGGGTCAAGATGTCTGCTTCATTCACTCCTCACGAGTGGCCAGGGAGGCACTCGTTCACTTCAGAGTCAGATCAGCAGCATCAACATAATAAAACACACTGTCACTGTTGAAAACTGCTTTATTTGTTGAATGATTTTAATAACCGTGCAGTTCCAGAGGATTTAGACACATAAACACATATATCTGGTCTGTTATTCTAACAAAGACATTAAAAGTCTGCATGTTGTCTCAAATACCAACTTTTACAAAATAACCCTCTGAGCAGAACCATTAAAACAGTTTATTAGACAATACCTCAGATTAGAGACAGCACACAGTGTGAATGATTTCATAATAAACTTCCAGACCAGAGCAGCTGCATCAGAAAATACAGCATCTGACAGGATTACACAACAACCATTCCTGCAAAGTAAGGCAACAGTCTAGAATGAATAGAAATGTGTGTTTTTGTTAAAAACTATGCTCAAGAACAAACAGGGACCTTAAATATTGTGTTGCATGGTAAGCTGCATCACTCTCTGAGGCAGTGACTGCTGAAAGAACTGAGTTGTTGAAGATCAGCTTAGGTTTTCTTGAAAACCTGCTTGCAAACAGCATCTTTAGCTCTCAGCTCCTGCAGGAAAACAAGTAAAATTGATAAATTCAGTATCATAAAGACACTGTAAATAATATAAATGATGTATTTTAAAAACTGGATGTAATTTCACCTATTTGTTTTTGTTTTGATCTAAATAAATCATGCTCAAACCTTTGGGCCCGTTTCCATCGAACTTGCTATATATTTTTGGGCCACTAGAGGACACTGTTGCTCCAAATCCCAGACCTTCCCAAACCCTTGGGAGCATCCCACTAAAGCCTAATTTCATGGTTACTGATTAAAAACATCTGCTGGCATTATTCAAACCAAATAATTTGGGGAATTATTTTTACTTAGCTTTGATGGCAGCAATCGTACAGAAGAAAATCTGATAATATCGAGCTAATAAAAATGGTAATGTGCGTATCATTACTTTTCAGATGCAAATGGTTTCATTACAGGGCATGCTGTGCCACACAATACGTTCATAGGGATGTGTAACAGTAGTGCACTTTGCATTAGATATTAAAATATATACATTTTATTATTTATGATAGCCAGATTTCACATTTTAACATATTTTCCATGTCCACTTAGAGCTGGTGGGATTATTCAAACTGGAGTCACATATATGCACTTCACATACTATGCTGAGAGGCATTTTGGATCTGGATTAAAGAGTCTAAATTGCTTGGATTAATATTCATGCCAAGAGCTGCTGTTTTCTCACCAGATGAAGCTCATCTCCCTCCACCCAGTGGGTCCAGCCTCTTCCTTCAATCTCTCCCTTCTGAACACACACCAGCTTGTCTCCCTCCCAGTTAATGGTGGTCTACATGAAGCAGGAAACACAGACACACATATCTGAAAATATGATGCGTAAAACTGGGAAAAGGGTTAAAATGCACATTATGTTTGATGGTAAATAGACAGAAATCTTGTTCCAATAATAAGTCAGACACACGTGACTTTCTCTTTCCCTCCCAACATCTTACAGCTTATCTTTAATCAGCCTATCGGCATACAGAAAAGGCTTTTCAAGGGGATAACAGATCGTCTTTTGATCCTATTCAGTATTCAGAAACACAATCTAGTTAAATGGGTCTTGACTTTGACTCCAGTCCTTTCCCTGCAGTATTTCTGCCATCGCTCTTCATTACACCCAGTCACAGAGAAGACCGTTAAAAGTTTGACAAAGTTTTTTTTTCTTTGAGTAGGAGGAAAGTTCAGTATAAAAATGACCGGCTCTCACTACACCATCTGCTCATTAAACTGCAGTCTGGAGGGGCTCCTGCTAAAAAAAAAAAAAAAAGAAAATCAGCCCACAGAATTTGCACCCAAATGGGTTCATGCCACAGGCCTTCACAGCTGATGCAATGCTGCTGAGCTATAATGCTTACTGATTTTAAAGCATGTGCTCCATTAGCTGGTGTGACGTAAACGTGCACGCTCACCATGCATTTCCTGTCATCCACTCCTGCCAGATCCTCCTCGAACTCTTTGCCCACATAGAAGTCCATGTTGTAGTTTTTGAAGGTGCTGAGGGTCTTGATGATGAGGTGGTCCCCGTCGTGGACGATGTCTTTGTCTGGCTTCAGGAGGACAGCAATTTTCCTGATGGCTACATTTACATCTGCATAAATGGGACAAAATAGTAAACAAAAAAAAAGTTATAACTGTTATCAAATGGACATTTTTCAAATGAAAGCTGCCTCATAAATTACACAAGAGAAGAAATTTTGGCAATATTCTGCAGACATAAGGAGATTTTTTTACAGGTCATATAACCTCCGTCATGGAGATGTCACTTAAGTATTATATGATTACTCTTTACTTTGCATCTGCATAGGTAAGTACAAATATTAGAAAAAGCAGGCTCGGATGCATTCGCATGTGGAATGCTGTTGCTTTTTTGTTTCAAAGCTAAAAAAAAAACCCCGAACATTTATTAATTTAATGTGCATATTTTCTTGTGTTGAATCAGATCTAAACAAGTAGAAGCTCTGAAGGCGCGGCTCTGAACTCACCGAGAGCCTTCATGTAACCCTCGAAGTTCTCATTAGAAACCATTTTCCAGTATCCGCTCAGATCCACCGGCATGGTGCTGGCTTCTTCACCGAGGAGATCCGCTGAGGTCGGCCGCGGACGGGAGAATGAACAAAACGATCTCAAACGTCCCAATGTGAACTAAACTCTTTGTAATCCGATTACCTGCTGAGTCTATTTTTTGTAATTGAAATGATCGCTCGCGCCTCCCTTCTCCCTCTCGCGGCTGATAATCCCAGTAACGTTCCAATCCTCTGCTTTGCAAGATGGGAACGTCTTCAAAACGGTCTTCGCCTCCTTACAGATCTGCTTTTTGTTACTTTCATATGTTTCAGGTCGGAAAACAAAATTATTTAGCAGCTGGATTTAAAAAATATGACTTTATAAATCAGGAGGAAAAAATATGCAGTCAACGTGATCCTGTGCGGAAACGTTGTTTCTGCCTTGAGTCATCTGATTTAGCAGGTTGTTGCAAGCTGAGTTCAGTTCTGGAGCTGGTTATTATCAGAGCTAACAGTCACTAGAACCTGGCAGACATAAGGTCAGCTAAAATATCTCAAAAAGAAACACATCCTGTTTTGTTTTAATGCAATTAACAAACAAGCCAAGCACATCTAAAGCACTGTGAACTCAAAAAAATGATTCCTGGCCCCAGTAAACACAAGCTACAACTTGTATATATGATTTAAATCACAACTGCTAATTATCAAAATGATTAAATTTTTATCAAATGTGCTAAATGTAAACATATGCTTCTTTAGTAAACCCATTGAATTCCATTTTTAGGACTTTTAAGAAATTTGCTGTGTCATTTGCACTTGCACGTTTAGGTGCATACAACCCCCCCCCCCCCCCCCCCCAAAAAGGTACTTGGTAATCACCAACTACTTTCATGTGAATAAGACTACTACTTTTAAAATCATTACTTTTATTTATTAAAGTAGTTAAATGCATCAAATAAGCACAAACGTAAGAACAAGCTACTTGGATGTTTACTGACATTATTTCATAAAAGTACACGAAAAATTCAAAATGAACTTTTTTGGCTGACCCTTTGTTTCCCTGTGTGGCTTTCCACGTGGTTAAGGTTGGTTTATAGGGATGAACATCACAGCATGAAGAGCTCCAGGGACATTTGGCTGATTCTACAAGAAAAAAATACATCTTAATAATCCCTGAGAGTTTTGGAGAATTAATCTGCTGACTGAAACTTCCAGAATGTTTGTGTCTCATTGTATCTGGTGATAAAACAAACCGTAGAAAAATAACATAGCCGGACACGGTGGTGGTAGTGTGATGTCCGGGGCTGCTCTGCTGTTTCTGGACCACTTGCTGTGATTGATGGAACCAGGATTTCTGCTCTCTACAGGAAAATGGCTTAGACTGGTTTTAAAAGCTTTTCTTGTCTCACCTAAATACTAACATTATTATCTAAAATAGCATTTTGTTTTTATCCAGATCATCACTGGAATACGACAAAAAGGCAAAAACATAGGAAATGTGTAATGAGGTATAATTACATAATAATTATGCTGATGAATGTCAACACATCACCTTTATTATTAGTCACTAGCTCATTTAACTCCAAATGATTGTTTCCTGCAAGCTGATTCAGTTGTTTAAAATGAGCAAGAATAGGCTTAAATTAGCATGCAGGATCATTAGGATTAAGAATAAAAGTACTTCAAAGGCAAATGGTGAAGGTAACATTCACAGTGCAAATGAATCCATTTGCCGCCTCACAATAAGCCTGTCTCATCTTTTGTTTCGCCCAAATAACTCAATTAATTTTCTAATCTCTCTTTTGAGTCTGCTGCAGCAAGCCCACTTTGTAGGCCTTCCACACACACCATCCCTACTTTATTATTTATTTTAGAGGATGCCATCCACCATCAGTGGCGAGGTGGCTGTTTCAGCAGTTGGTCCCCACGAGAAAACACCTCCTGTAGCTGAGCAACTGTCAGGATTACTTTAAATCCTTGGGAGAAAATGATGTGGGGCTCACAGACACAGTGTGTGGAGGATAATGGGGAGACTGAATGGATCCAGAATGAATTGCTGTTTTGGAAGAAGCTGCAGAGAACAGACACCCACACTGAAATCCATCCGGGGGCTGAAGAAAGAAGGGGGGAGATGGATTACAGTCCACCGACAAAATCTTAGCATTCTGGTGCAGACATGGACACAAATAAGCTCCGCTTTTGTCCTTTTGGATTCCAAATGTTCCCCACAAATATCACTGCCCTTTACTGAGAAGATTCATTTAAATGGGTCTCATTCTTAATTTATTTTCTTTACTATTTGTCCTCTTTGCACAAATACTTTTTAAAGGTTTCTGATCTTAATTTATCACTAAATCTTTACTATCCAAAATCCACGGCTTTACACTTCCTGTCGACAACTCCTTAGTTTCCCCCTCCCCTCAGGTCAAGAGTCTGGGTGTCATCCTCGACTCCTCACTATCCTTCCAGTCCCACAAAAACAATATTACCCGGTCTGCCTACTTCCACCTACGTAACATTAACCGCCTACGCCCCTCCCTCACTACTCACTCGGTCGCCATCCTTGTCCACAGCCTCATCACTTCCCGTATTGACTACTGCAACACTCTTCTCTTCGGTCTTCCTCACATATTCCTCCATGAAGTCCAACTTCTCCAGAACTCGGCAGCCCGCATCATTACCAGAACTCCTTCCTTCCACCACATCACCCCTGTTCTTCAGCAGCTCCATTGGCTCCCAGTCACTTCCAGAATCCCAATTCAAAATTCTGCTATATACATTCAAAGCCATCCATAACCTAGCTCCCCCGTACCTCTCAGACCTCCTTCATCCTTCAACCTCCACCCGTTCCCTCAGGTCCTCCTCCTCCCTCCACCTCTCTGTCCCACCTTTCCGTCTGGTCACTATGGGGAGCAGGGCCTTCAGTCGCTCTGCTCCCCAGCTCTGGAACTCCCTCCCTCCTGACCTCCGTAACACTGATTCCCTCACTCTCTTTAAAGCCAGACTCAAAACCCACCTGTTCCGTCTAGCATTCCAATAGTTCCTCTCTTTGCTCCAATCTGTCAGTTTGTTTTATGCTGTTTTATCTTTTATTGTTGTGTATTTTATCTCTGTCTGTAAAGTGTCCTTGAGTGTTCAGAAAGGCGCTGTTGAAATAAAATGTATTATTATTATTATTATTAATTTAAAGTTCACTTCAAACACTAAACATCAGCATTGCTCACAAATCTAACCTGTTTACATAAGCATGATTTCAGAACTAAAACCACATCAGAGCAGAGCGGTGACTCATCGCTGTTTCCTGCGTGCCTCTTTGGGTGGCTTTTAGTACAAAAAAGCATCAGTTACATCTGAGACAACAACACTGACGCAAAATGTGCAAAACCTGCAAAACGTCTTTGTAAACAAGAGACTCTGTGGCTAAACATCAACAAATCAGGATGTGATTTAGTCCACGTTTCTTTGGAGACTGTTATTTTGTGCTGTTTTCAGAGCAGAATTTAAAAACATCCCATAGAAGGGGTCAAAGGTCAGCCTGGTCTATCAGTCATTTAGGCTGTTTATGTGCTGATGTGCCTGTTTGATCAGCGGCCTCAGCGCCGTGCCCTCATTCCTCCTCTCGCTGTCCTGTGTGTAGAGGTTGTGCTGCTGGATATATTCCATCACAGAGTCTGGGATCAGGTACTTCACGCTCTGACCGCGTCTCAGTGCGCGGCGGATCTCAGTGGCGCTCGATTCGTTCCTCACCCACTCCCTCACCAGGAAAACGTTTTGCCGGTGGCGGTGCAGTGTGTCTGACTCGTGCACCGCACGCTCCGGCTGCAGACTCCCCCGGCTGATGCAGACGAGGCCGAAACGGCTGACCAGCTCTTCCACGTGATCGTCCAGCCACAGGCCCGGGATCTTAAAGGTGCTCAGGAAATCAGCTCCGCACACAAGCTTCAGCTGGGGAGGTGGAGCTGAGGGAAGCAGAGGAAAACACATTTCTACTGAGCTAACCTGATGAATATTATAGTTTTATAACATAAATGTGCATTAACCATGGTTAAATTATATTAAAACTCCTAATAACACCCCCCCTCAAGAGCCTATGGTGTCCTCTTCTATATAAACTAATCAACCACCTATATCGTCGTCGTCGTCTTCCTCCGCTTATCCGGGTCCGGGTCGCGAGGGCAGCATCCCAAATAGGGAGCTCCAGACCGTCCTCTCCCCGGCCTTCTCCACCAGCTCCTCCGGCAGGACCCCAAGGCGTTCCCGGACCAGATTGGAGATGTAACCTCTCCAACGTGTCCTGGGTCGACCCGGGGGCCTCCTGCCGGCAGGACATGCTCGAAACACCTCCCCAGGGAGGCGTCCAGGAGGCATCCTGACCAGATGCCCAAACCACCTCAACTGACTCCTTTCGATCCAGAGGAGCAGCGGTTCTACTCCGAGTCCCTCCCGAATGTCCAAGCTCCTCACCGTATCTCTAATGGGCTCGACACACGGGAGGTGACAAACGGCCGCGACCAGCAAAATTTGTCGCTGTCGTTTTTATTACCTGACACACGGGAGGTGATCCGCGGCAGCGGCCAGCGGCAAAGCCGTCTACGCGTTCTGTTCCATGGCGAAATCGAAACTGTTTTGTTTGGCTGTGTCAGGTTGGAGGGAATTAAGGTTATTTTAGCGGTTCAGAGTTAAAAAAGTGGTAGACATGATGTTTCACAAGGTGCTGCTAGAGTTGTGTGAAATCTTACTTCTGATTTTACTATAAAACATAATAATAATAATCAACTTCTCCATGTTTGCTCGGAGGTGTACGGAGCATCCTGTCCGCTCATTGGTCAGTGAATGAAACCTCCGTTGATTGGTCCTCGTCCGAGCGACAGCGATGAAAAGTTGAAAATGTTTCAACTTTCTGGGATCGCGTCGCTGGGTCGTCCATGCACGACACGTGCACAAGCGCAAAATTTCACATGCACGTTTTTCACGTTTCGCTTAATAGGAGGGAGACCCTACGGCAGTTTCTCTTTGAATCTTCTTGACTTCATTCAAACAACTTAACCCAATAAATATTCTGTGCTCCGGTTGGTAACTAAACCCATGCTGCTTTAGTTTTTTTTTCTATGCAAATGGGATGGCAGAAAAGTAATCCTCAAGTGGTGCTTGTTTTGAACGTGTGAAAATATTCCAGTGGATTTTCGCCAGCTGGCTAATCCACAATCAAACAGCCAAACTGCAGCATAATACTACATGACTGACTGCTCATCCTGTTGAAGAGCCAAGTTTCAGATGCAGGCACAATTAGGGCAGTGCTGGTTCGCATCTAAAAATTTGATTTATAAAAGAAAATCTCTTTTTCGTGACAGAAAAATATCACCAAAACACAAATTATTCCATTTTAATATAACTAAACTTGAGTTTAAAAGGCTAAGATAAAAATCAGCATTCCGTGTTAAAACGCATATATTGTTGCCTAAATTACACGTTCTGATTGTGAACTGAAAAGTGATTCCAGAACCGTTATTCAACATTTAACTGAATTTGTCATCTTTGTGTAGCGAAGCATGACTAACAGAATGAGACAGCAGCACAGGAGAAGAAGAAGAAGAAGAAGAAGAAGAAGAAGAAGAAAATAGCATTTCTATAGCGCCTCTCAAGATAAAAATCACGAGGCGCTTCACAAAAACAAAAAATGTAAAAATATAAAAAAGCATTTAGAAAATGTTTAAAAATATATTTAAAATGAGCAAAAATAGGCAATTGTGATTTAAAAAATGTTAACAAAGAGAGAGTGAATAGGAAAGAGGGCAATCAGTGGATCCTGAGGAAGGTGGAATAGGTGGGGAGAGCAGAATAAAGAGAGAGTGGTGAAGAAGGTCATACAAAAGCCAGCTTGAACAAGTGAGTCTTCAGCTGCTTTTTAAAGGAGACCACTGAGTCCACTGATCTCAGGCTCAGGGGGAGAGAGTTCCAGAGTCTGGGGGCCACAGCAGCAAATGATCTGTCACCTTTGGTCACCTGGTGCGCTGCACAACCAGTAGGCTTTGATCACTGGACCTCAGGGACCTGCTGGGGGTGTAGGGACTAAGAAGATCACCAATGTAAGATGGTGCTTGCCCATGTAAGGCCCTATAGACCAGAACCAGGATCTTGAAATGAACCCTGAAGTTGACTGGCAGCCAGTGAAGCTGGAGGAGAAGCGGGGTGATGTGGGTGTGTTTGGAGGACTTGGTCAGAAGCCGAGCACAGGCATTCTGAACCACCTGTAGACGGTTCAGGGAGGTTCTGCTCAGACACGTGAAAAGAGAGTTACAGTAGTCTAAGCATGAGGAGATGAAGGTGTGGATAACTGTCTCAAGTTCAGAGCGGGACAGAATGGGACTCAGCTTAGCAACGTTCCTGAGATGGAAGAAGGAAGAGCGAACAAGAGAACTGACATGAGAATCCAGGGTGAGAGCTGGGTCAAAGGTTACGCCAAGATTCCTGACAGAAGGTTTGGAGCATTATGGGGGCTCAATGAAAATCATTCTGCCTTCCTAGAGGAGATGGCAACTCTGGAACTTTAAGTGAATTCATGTTGACATTTTTTAAGTTATTACAGTTTTATCTGTTGTTGATCATTCATGATCAGCCGTGTAAGTAGAACAGAATTAAATGTAGATAAATGTGACGGCTGTGGAGCTGTTTTATATGATTAAAATACATGTTGGTTTTAGCTCATTTTGGACAAGCTCATCAGTCCTGTAGGACATAAACTCTGTTTAGCCTCATTTCCACTGACTGTTTTGGCACGGACCGGAGGCTCGGCTAGCTAAGTTTTCCGTCCTGATTGTAAAACCGGTCCAGACAACCAACCAGGACCGCGCCAGTCACGGGACTTTTTAGGCTCCCTTCTGTTGGAGGTCCAGAAATTTGTAGAGTGGTATAGTTAGGGTGGAGTAACAACACGGTCGGGGGAAAGAAGTTCGTCACTACGTGCAACAAGCAAAACAAACTCAGAAGTTCCATTGTTTGTATTTTCATTAGTTGTTCACAAATGTGAGAAAAAGCCAGCAATAGCAGCAGGTTTTGTTCAGCTTCAGACCTCCATACATTCCTCACCATCATCCTGCGAGTCCACACTCAGCAGGAGATTGACGGATCGGTGAGGAATCCATGTTTTTACAGAAGTTTCTCAGCGGATGAGAGCTGAAGGATCCGAGCGACCGTCGGGATGATGTTGAGCCAAGCTGAAGAAATTAAAGCCCAATATAGAAGGACAGAAACAGCTGGGGTTGAGAACTATATGGAGGTACTATGGCACGCTGGAGGCTACTAATAGGCACAGACCAGCAAACCGAGGCAGGCCTGGACTCAGCGACCGCACTCTGGAGCCACTTGTGGAGCCCGTCGGTAAGCATTCCCTTTTTGTCTTTAGCTCTGCAGACCAATTATTGCAGCACAAAAACACTGAATAGTTGCACAACTTCAAACGTACAAACGCTCTCCTGACATTGCAGACTCATACCGAAACACGCCGGTCCACAGTGACCCACCCCACCCCGTCCCGAACCCTGCAGATGGATCCGAGGCTTTTCTCTGTGAGTAAGCTCTTCAGGAAGCTATAAAGTAGTAATTATTTATAACCTTTATTTACATGCACACTTCAAAATGGCTTCAATCCCTTTTAGGTGCTAGCTAAGGAAAATGGAACGCTATTAATGTTGGCATTTGATCATAAACAACAGTGAGATCTGCTGATGAGGCCATAGGCTGGATCGCTTTAGAGCAATTATCAATCTGGAATCCAAAACAGAGATCACACAGTCCTCTGGGACAGGAGGATCTCCCAGCTAAAGACAGGGAAACAAAATGAGAATCCTACCTGAGATGTTAATGTTTCCATGGCCACCACTGTGTGCTCCTGTCCTCTGCTCATATTCTTTGAGTATGCGACTGTAATGATACCTGCACAACGACAACAAGAGATTATTTGTTTATTTATGATAAAACAAAAGATTAGTGCTCATCATCTCATTACCGTTTTGTTAACAGATCCAGATTTCCCTCATTTAGAAAAATAACCTCTAAATAACTGAGAAGCTTGATAAAATAAACATAAATATAAATATAGATAGATAAAATATATAAATAAGTAAATTATAAAAAAGTCAAAATTAAATAAGATTTTTGAGTGAATTTGATTGTGTGATAAGGAGTGGAACAATGCCTAACAGCCTCGGGGACATCAGTCCACGCCCCTCCTTGATCAGCGCATGTGTTGCACAAACACAGCTGAGTGACGACCAGCTGGGAGGGGAGTGGGGGGACACTTGGGAGACGGTTTGTGAGAAGTCGGGAGCCGGGACGGGAAGGTGACATGGTGAAGCAGAGGCAGACCCTGGTTTATAGTCAGGTCATCGTTGATTACAATGCCTTTAAAACTGGTTTGGAGCTTAAAATACTGTAAAAGGTTTAAAATACATGATTTAACTATTCAGGAAAAACCTAAAATACTAAAACTGCATTTTTATATCAGGTAAAAATACAAAAACAGGACTTGGTTGTGTTCAAGTGTTTTTGAATCTGAATCTAAAATATAAAACAACTTCATGTACAGTCCGTACCATTTGTTCTTCAGGAGAAATTAATCAGCAAAACAATCCGATCAGACCATGAACTTATTTTTAACGGATGGAAAAATCCCTCCTTAATACAACGCTCTGAGATTAAAGCCTGTCATTGAGGAGCCAGGAACCTCGTAACACAACAGCTGAAGTTGTCATAATCCTTTGCTGGCAGAGGGACAACAAAGGAGAGTAAATCCCAGCTGGAATTTTAGGAAAAACTATCTGGTTTTCTAAAAACAGAAATATTACATAGAATGCTAATTTAAATTTATTTATAGCGTCAACACAATAATTTCCATTTTTAAACCTGTAAGAAAACCTAATTAGATGAAAGAAGCAATTAAGACTGCAAATTAATACCAAACTTCATATGAGATGAGTAATTTGGTCAAAAGGTTTTCATGACCTCATTCTTTTTTAAGAAGCCTTGCTGGTTTTGGTTCTGGTCAATGACTGGTTTCCTCTGCTTCCTTTCATTTTCCCATATCCCCAGTTAACCTTATTACATCTCCAGAAGCTCCTGTTCCCTGTTCCTCATTTACTCACCTGTATCCACTCACCTCATTATCCTCAGCTGCACTTAAGCTCCTCTTTCAGACAGATCCTGTTTGCAGGCGGCTGCAGGGTTTTCCCTCACACTTACGTTAGTTTCCTCTTCCCGCAGTAAAGCATTTTATTTTTAGGGTTATGTTCTATTGTTTTATCCGTTTCGAGGAGGATTGATAAAGGGTGGGTATAAAAATGGGAGGTAAAAAAACAATCGATGCTTTTTTTCCCACTTCCTCCCATGAGAAGCCTTTTTTTCCCCAAACAGCCACTTAAAGCCTTATAATGAATGTGTTTGTATACCTCATAGTGACCACTGTCTCTGTCCAGTCTGGCTGCTGGCTCTCCCATTCATCCACCGTGACCCAGTTGGAGCTCTGGAGTGCCAGTTTTGCCATAAAGATGCGATGCTTAGCCTGCACCAGACCTTGCTTTCCATAGCCGTCACTCACAGGAGACACAATGCCACCCACCACCTCAAACTGACCTGCAGTGAAAGAAGATGAAAGAAGATGCTTAAAAGCATTAATGTTTCTTTGAGCTATAATTTGCATGATGCATACATTCACAAAACATCTAAAAATGAAAACTCTGGCTCAGAATCAGTAAAATGCTTCTAATGGTACCATGATGTCATTACAAACGCGTGACAGGGACAGTGTCCTAATTTAAGGCAGCTTCAGGATAACTGCTTCTGCAGACAGATTTCATCTTGATGAACACCACTGCTTTGGAAGTGCTTAAGAAGAATTATTAAAGGTTTCTAATTTCTACACCATTCTTCTTGCTAGTTACAGCTCAGAAGTGAGATGAGAACAGTGTTAAAGCAGCAGTTTTTTGCGCTTGGGGAAGCAGAAAAAAGCACAAGTTAGAAAAAATATGAATGAAAGCCACTATTATTGGTGTGTGGTATCTAACAGCACAAATGTATTTCACCAGAAAAAATAAAAAACAGAACTTTGATAATTTGTTGTGCAACATAAGAATTTTTGCATCCTAATCTTACTCCATCCAGTAATTCATTTGGCAGGAAATAGATGTAGAGCTTGACTGTGTGTTATCCACAGATGAACAATCATCTGCAAATTTAAAGAATGACAATTAGCTAAGAGCTTAAAAAGACAATCCCTGAGGAGCTGCCCTGACACTGAGGGTCATCACACGCACACAATCAGTTGACTCCTTGTATGTTATGTTTGGACCTAACCTGTGTAGTGCATGTGGTCCCTGGCCAACTCAAAGAGCCTCATGTGCTGATTGGTGATTGGATTAAAGGAGCCACAGGCTAACAGCACTAGCGGAATGCGGCAGGTGGCCATCATGATCTGCCTTCTAACATCATGGTCAATGAATCTATAGGAAAAGTGGGGAAAGGTGTTATTTAATCTTGTAAATTAAATAATGGTACAGAAATGGTACATTATTACAAACAACTCGTTGAACATTTTTATTATTTAATAAAAAAACTGATTAAAAACTAAATCAAAAGATGCTCTGCTGCAGTTCTAACTGTCATGTAGGCATAATGGCAGAGCTATTACACACTACCCACACCACACACACTTGTCTTAAATGTAAACAAAACTGACCTTTTCTGCAATCGCAAACATTGATTTGGGGGCATGTTATTATGCACATTTTGTTTAAAGCATTTTCTAGTGGAAAAGGAAAGTTCTTGAACAGACTTAACCCTTACTCACGAACTGTTACGCATGAGTTTGATAAGTGTTGAAGTTAAAAACATCGACAACTTTCTGAGAAACGCCGACTTGACTTTGAGAGGGCAGCAAGCCGTAATTAGCTTAGCTTGTTGAACGAGACGCGGAGCAACGGTCCGGTAATTAGATTATTTTAAGGTAAATTTAACAATTCGCTCATTTAAAAATACGCATTTTAATCTATACAGCATTAAACAGAACACATGTTATTAGTAATTAGTTAAATTTGAGTACCTTTGCTTCGCTAGAATTCCATGTGTTACAATATTTTCACTCCCCCTGTTAGGAGAGTTTGCTTTATAGTTCCGCAGGAAAACCAAGCAGAAGTGCGACTCCAAGCGGATTTAAATGGTATTACGTAACTGTCCATGGTGCTGAAGTTGCTGTCAGCGTTTTATATGGTGATCAGCACTTTTCATTACGTTTCTAGCTGGTCCAGCTATTGAAAAGAATATGTGATGTTAAAAATGGTAAGTTACGCCATGTTTCCCATCGGAATTTATGTCTAAAACCAAGTTAACAAGCTGTTTGTGTGGACACAAATGAAAGATTCTCAAACAAATTTCTTTCACAATATGACAAATTAAATTCAACATACTCATTTCATCCAAAGAGAAATTACATGTTGTACTGACACGTACATTAGAGTTGATTAAAGTCTTTGAAAGATGTGGATCACTTGTTTAATTAATACAGTGGTCTCTAGGAACGGATGCCTTGAAAGTTGTACTCAAGATGAAAAAAAAAAAAGCTCAGATGTGCCTCATTCAGGACGTTACAAGTCAGGTAGAGGAGAAATTAGCGCCAGATGGCAGGATTTGGAGTCTTATTTCCTGATATTTGGACATCTTGCCTCAGATTAGCTAATAGCAACACAACTCTACCACTGACCCTGTTTGGCCTGCAACAGTGATGTTTTGCCTCTACAAATAAGTTATCTAACTGATAGGCAGCAATATGTTCAAATAAACAACACAAAATCAAATATAAATAACATTACATGTGGTGTACCACAAGGGTCGGTATTGGGCCCTAAACTATTTATCATTTATATAAATGACATTGTTGAGGTATCCAATATATTAAAATGCACCTTATTTGCAGATGATACAACCTTTTATTATTCAGGAGATAATGTTGAGCAGATGATAGAAGTGATACAAACAGAGATGAAAAAAATTAAACTATGGTTTGATGGGAACAAACTATTATTAAACAGTGATAAATCATGTTTTATGATATTTAGTAATACATATTCAAATGATGAAATTTTATTAAATATAGATGAGATTAATATTAAAAGAGTTAAAGAAGTCAGGTATCTGGGAGTCATCATTGATGAAAAAATGTCTTGGAAACTACATGTAAACAGTGTCAAAACTAAAATATCTAAAACTATTGCACTGTTACATAGAGCAAAATGGTTACTTGATAAAAATTCCCTATATTTGTTATATAACTCACTGATCATACCGTACCTGAACTACAGAGATCTGTCCAATCCATTATTTATACAATTAAAAACACTAAAATTCTATGATCTGGTGGACTACAATATTTTAAAATGTATGTATATTGCAAACAAAGGGTACGCACCTGCAGGTTTAATCAAAACATTTACAAAGACGCATAGCAAATATGATTTAAAAGGGCACAACTTATTTAATATACCTATGTAACGTGATGAAGGAACTGTTCCATCACGTTACACATAGGATATTCATAAAGGAACATTGTGTGTCCATATATGGAGTTAAAATGTGGAATAAATTAAATACTGAAATCAAAAATGCAAAAACAATATGGACTTTCAAAAAAGAAATAAAAATGAAATGATTAACTTCTATAGATCTGTTAAATAAACGCGTGAGGGGAGGGGGGTTGGGGGGGGGGGCAAAGAAAGAAAAAAATAAATAAAAAGGGGAAAGGGGGAATGGGTCTGTGTATGCATATGTGTATATATATATGTAGGCTTATATGTGTATAGCTTTGTGCTTCTTTCTGTGTAACTTGTTTTCTCTCTTTTTTTCAGTTCATGGGTTGGGGTTGTGTCGGCCAGCCAGTCCGGAAACTATATTGTTCAATTTTTTTTTAAGAATCATATGGTTGTTTCATTTGTATTAATGTTATTTTAGTTAAAAGGGGCAGATAACATAAGTTTTTCTTCTTTCTGCCCCCTTTTTCATTTTGGCTTTTAGCAATTTAGTTTTGTGTTTTTATTTTAATTTCAATAAATGAAAATGAAGCTATAAAATAAAAAAAAATAACACAGCCCTGAAGGAGTTGCCATGTTGTAGAGTTTCTAATGCTAACAGTTAGCTTCTACTAGCCAAAACATTCTCTACTGTTTTGCTAAACCAACTACAGCCTTCCCTGTCACGAACCAAGACGGGTGAGTCCATGAATATTAAGTGACAGTGTGATGTAGATCTGTCAGGCTTTTCAAATCCTAGCATTTCATTATCGATTTTCTATCAGAAGCTAATGCAGGACATAGGTGTAGGAGACTATTTTCATGTTCAGCCTGCATGAAAAACTCGGAGTGACCGATTATACTCAGAAATAAGATTTAAAAAAATGTTTTTTTTCATTGTTCCACACCTTTTAAGATAGTTATAGTTCTAATAGAGAAGTGTCTACTGTAGTGGTTTGTGTTGTAGTGGATCTGAAGAAGCAGTTGATTGAAGTCACTATTGCTGGATTACTGCCACATGAAGAGGATGCTCAGGGTTGTCCAATATGTTCTTCATTTCACGAAGCATCATCCTTTGTTCTACTAGCTCCAAAGACTTAAGAGCAATCACAAAAAAAGAAATAATTTTTTTTATTATTAACATATTCTAATTCCTACTGTCTCTGTGTCTGATGGTGCTTCCAAAGATATGAGATTGCATTCACAGAAGATGTGCAGAAGCTTGTTGCAATCACTGAAGGAGCTCAACTTTGTCAAGAACAATCCATTTGGTTCCTTCTTGAATCTTCCCTAGTGCCTACACTTCAGTTTGCTGTCTGGATGAAAAAAAGGTATTTTTGTTCCTTTGTTACCTCAATTTCTTTTCTTGCAACAGAAAAAAGTGTTAAACATAATTCTGCTTCTCCTAAAATTTACATAAAAACAAATCAAACTAAAACAAAAATTAGACTGCAGTCTGGCAATATTTGAAACATTAATATACAAGCAAACTGGTTACTTGAATTTTGAACTTATTTTGATAGAAATTTCCTAAACATGCTGACTTAATTTGAACTATGCCTTTTTTATACATTTTTTCACCATATTTTCAAAACAGAAACAGAGGAAGAACAGAGAAAACAAACCTCCCAACCTACCCTGCTACACTGGGCCAAAAACACTAAGAAGATTTCATTAAGACACTAAATCATAGGCAGAACTAACACGACTTCTGCTGCAATGAATGAACATGGGATCTATTGGTAACATTTTGTTAGAAACTAACATCCAAATCTAAAGATGATGCGTTGCAGAGCATTGTTACCAACTGAAAAACAACCAGCTAAACAAAACAGCTCCACTGCAATTGACTTGCTCTGATTATGTAAAATAAAAAGCAGTTTGGATTCCAAAGTGTTTAAATAAACAGTTTATATGTAGTAGAATAGAATAGAATAGAATAGAATAGAATATACTTCATTGATCCCACCGTGGGGAAATTAACTTGTTACAGCAGCACCAACACTTAAGAGAATAATTTGAAGAAAAATAATAGCAAAGGTTTATGTATACACACGCAGGCAGTACTCTACTAGAAAATTAAATGAATTATATGGCTAGCGGGGTTGCTGTAGTAAAACATGAAAACAGTCCATCCATCTTTCCACTTTCGCCCGCTTATCCGGAGTCGGGTCACAGGGGCAGCAGCCTAAGCAGGGAGGCCCCGATTTCCCTCTCCCCAGCCACTTGGAATCTCAAGGCGTTCCCTGGTCAGCCAAGAGACGTTGTCCCTCCAGCGTGTCCTGGGTCTTTCTTTAGGTCTCCTCCCAGTTGGACGTGCCCAAAAATCCTAACCAGATGCTTGAGCCACCTTAACTGGCTCTTCTTGAAGTGAAGGAGCAGCGGATCGACTCCGAGGCCCTCCCGGATGACTGAGCTTCTCACCCTATCTCTATGAGAGAGAAAACTCATTTTGGCTGCGTGTGACCATAGGTGAGGGTAGGAATTCATATTGACCGGTAAATCGAGAGCTTTCTGGTTCAGCTCTCTCTTTACCACAACACCCGCGTCACTGCAGACGCAGCACCAATTCACCTATCAATCTTGTGCTCCATCTTTCCCTCACTCATAAACAAGATCCCAAGATACTCCTCCACTTGGGGCAGGACCTCATCCTTGACCCTCATGAAAACAGTCCCTAAATAAATAAACAAATGTATAAATGTATAAATGTCTGACTTAACTTGATGATTAATTATGTCCTGATGGTTAGATTCCAGTTAAATATTAACTTACACAACATTACCGCTCTGTTTTAACTCCACCAACCACAGAAACAAACTGTTGCAAGCCCACATTTGTGAGTAATTACCTACATGTAAATGTGATCATTCCTGGTTTCTGTTGCTATGTTGTGTGCTTGTGTACCGTATCTTTGTTATCCTCTTAACTCACTTGAGGTCTTCTCCCATCTCTAATCCCCAGAAAACACACCCACTTTCATGTGAAGAAAAAAACATCTGGGAACTACTGAGAAAAGACAAAAAAACACACATGGCCATTTGAGACAACCAGTGATTCTGCCACAGGGTGAAAACGAGAAGGCTCAGTTTTGTGAGGGGGAGTATCGCTGCAATGTTCAGATGCTTTTGTTTGGAGGATAAAAAACAAACACATCACACAGTTGATTGTAACAATAAGAAACATTCAGGTGTCAGGAATACAAAATGTGCTGTTCAAAAATAAAAGCTGCATTTCCCATGGCATTCCACATAATCTAGGTAAAGTTAGGACCATGACTTAACCCAACCATGAGGAGAAATCTTTGAGGCGTGGCACCTACACATCAGTAGCATTCCAAATACTTTTCTTATTTCCCTCTCACCAAGTCTTCTCATAACATCAAGAATAATGAATATTCATCTAAAACAAATCAGCTTTGTTCCTATCCAGTCGTTTCAGTCACTTTTTCTTGTTTTTTCTGTAAACATCTGAGTTAAGTTTGCCAAATGTATTTACAGACGCATAAATGAGAACGAATATTTCCTTCAATATAAAATAATTTAATTGTTAAACTCCATTAAAAAGTCTTTTCAAAGCATTTATAACTCATATAACTTCAGTTATAATCTAAAATGTGAAATTAATGTCTGCACAATCTTATACTGTTGCATTTATTTTACAATTCAGCAACCTATTTAAGTAACTTGTATTTTATTATGAAACAGCTCAACCGGAAGCTTGGGTTAGTTAACGCCATTTCAGCGGTCTCTCTCTCTCTCTCTCTCTCTCTCTCTCTCTCTCTCTCTCTCTCTCTCTCTCTCTCTCTCTCTCTCTCTCTCTCTCCCTCGCGCGCGCGCGCGAGAGAGAGCGGTCAGCTGAGAACACCCTCGCGCCTGGGAGGTGAGCCAGGATCTGAGAGGAGAAGCGGACGCGAAGACATCTCCGACACAGTCCGATAAACATGGCGAAACTCGGGGTCCCGTTGGTGCTGCTCTGGCTGCTCTGGGGCTACTCCTTAGCTCTCGGTGGGAAAGGTAGGAACATGAAAACAGAATAAGAGGCGAGATGAATTTTATTTTGGCTTTGAAATTTTTATTGTTTTTGAATCGTTTGATGAACACAAGTTTTTACTAGTGAGGGGATAACATGGAAACGAAGTCTCATTCATTTCTAATAAATGTTTAATTACATTTTTAAATGAAATATTGACTTTAGGTTTAGAAGTGCTTGAAGTTATTAGAGCAGGCATTAAATTTTTTATGAAGTTATACCACTACAGTTATTTAAAATACATATTGATAAGTTTGAAGCTGATGCTATAGATTACAGTTTTAAAACTCCAAAGTAGGGTGTTCTGTCCTGTTTGATCAGACTGATATTTTGTTATGTATCATAATTTTCAGGGGGCGGGCCTTCTCATGGGGATGTCTAACGTTGTAAGGGGAGGTTCAGTGCAGAAATATTACACCAGTTAATACATAAGTTATCATAAACATGCAAGGACAGCATGCCACTGTTTTTCATGGTTATTTGCATTTTCTGGGCTCAGAAAGTTGTACTTGATCAACACAGATGTATAAAAACAATTTTGGGGTTTGATTCCAGCTCCCACCAGGGGTATCCTGCTGTTGTGTTCTTGGGCAAGACACTTCACCCAACTTGCCTGTGTTAGTGGTGGTCAGAGGGGCCAACGGCGCCAAATTGCAGCCTCGCCTCTGTCAGACCTCCCCAGGGCGGCTGTGGCTACAAGTAGCTCACCATCACTAGCAGTGTGTGAATGTGAGTGTGTGAAAGCGTCTTTGGGTGTCTTGAAAAGCGCTATATAAGTTCAATGCATTATTGTTAATACAATTTAAATGTAAAATGTCTAAATATTATAATAACATGGATCCAGTGGACTTCTTTTTTTACTGAAAATAGCAAAGTTGAGCAATTTTCACATGATGCAATATGTTTCAACCTTTTACTCTCTATGTGAGGTACAGATGCAAACACAATTATATATTTATAATAAAGATAATTAAATGGTAAATGTCCTGGGACTCCCCAAGGTGCATTACAACATAATCAATCATTCGCCCATTCACACACACATTCACACCCTGGTGGGGATGAGCTACGATGTAACCACAGCTGCCCTGGGGCACACTGACGGAGACGAGGCTGCTGAGCACTGGCGCCACCAGCAGCAGGTGTCTTGCCCAAATACACGACTGCGACAAACTGAGAGCTTAACTCCTGTGCCACCATCACCCCCAAATTAAATACAAAGAGAAAAGTCTCTGTGTTACTTTTGAATCAGCTGAGTCATATTTTGAATGTTTATTTTTACGTTGACAGCTTTCAAGAACTTTTTTATGTTTTCTGGAAAACTCAGTGTTTTGAAGATGTTTTAAACAAAACTTTAGTCTGAATTAATTCAGGAAGTTAATTAAGCAGAGAAAGAGAGGCTTTTCCCAGCCTCTGTCAGAGTGGAGTCATGCTGTCTTGTAAAAAGCAAACAAACCGGTTTGGGAAGTGAAACTGATGAAAGCCCGAGATAAGTAGAACTATTTTTTTGTCCATCTTCAGATTTGGTCCAAATTCAGATGATCGGTTTTATTTCAGTCCTCATAATGACTCGTGTATCAGGAAAGTTCTGTGTTCGTAGAAAGCCTGTTTGACATGGTTAACTCAAAAACATCACAGCAGTTATGTTGCTGTTTTGTGGTGATCTGAAGCTGGTTTCTGTGTACTTCACTTTATTTGTAATGAAGACTGACAGCGATAGTCAGAGAGCTGTTTTCAGTCACATGTTCGTCCCATAAAACCCTCTCATCTCACGCATCTTCTGTCTTAGCCTCCCAGTCTCACACACACACACACACACACGCACGCACGCACACACACACACACACACAGCCGTGTTGCCAGTGAGGGGAAGCGTCGTTTACAGTGGTATTAATTGGGTCTCTGGAGTGGGAGCGCCAGACCGTCTGTCTGTCTGCACTAAAGCGAACATTATTATTATTTTTGTTTATAAAAGTCTTCCATATAGTCAAGTGCTAGTGGGAAGGCTAAATACTGTACATTTAGATAAAGTTTGGAGAAGTGGCCATGTCTGCTGAGCCGTCAATGTCTTATTTAGTTTTCAGAGGTGGTTTGATGAACATCTTTCCCTAAATGAGAGGGACTGTATGGTTAAAAATTGCTTTTAAAATATAATTGATCCCCCATCCCCTCCTACATTTCATTTGTTTAATGACACAAAAAACATTAAACTGTTTGTTACACCTGCGGCATCTTACCCACCAGTTAACTGTCTGTTAATGGTAGTGTTGCAGTTATTGGATCCAACAGCCGCATTCGACACAATTCACCATGACACCCTCCTCGATCGTTTGGACCACTGGGTGTGGGTGACTGGCTCAGCTCTTCATTGACTGAGATCATTTCTTCAGGAAGGGAGGTTTTGTGTTATGGTGGGCGAAACTTCGTCTCCTTGGGAGGACTGGTGTTGGGGGTACCACATGGTTCAGTCCTGGGTCCACTCCTTTTTTCCCTTTATTTTCTCCCTTTGTGGGCTGTCTTCTGCAAACATGGTGTTAAGTTTCATCTATATGCGGATGACTGCTACATTTACTTTCCCTTATGTCAGAGGATGGGAGGTTCTATTGCGGCATTATTGACATGTTTGGAAGAGGTCAAGTCCTGGCTTGCCGCAAATTATCTTCATGTGAATGAGGAGAAGATTGAGCTCATACCCGACCTGTGGGTATGAGGCAGATGGGGGTCCTGCTATGAATTTGGATGCTCTGTCACAATATCAGATGTCAGTGGTCACTAGCTTGGGGGGGTGAGACTAGATTCAGATCTCAAATTCGAGACCCACATTAATATGGCAGTGAGGTCTTGTTTCTTTCTTTTACGACAGCTTGCTAAAATCAAGCATACTGTATGTTGTCTAGACCTCATCTTGAGTCAGTACTACATGCATTTGTTTAGTCAAGACTGGACTATTGTAACGCATTGTATGCTGGTTTGAGTCAGGCAGCATAGAAGTTGCTGCAATTGTTTTAGAAGTCGGTAATTCGATTTTTGACTGGGACGAGGAAAAGAGAACACATTACCCCCATGTTGGCCTCTTCACATTAGTTGTCTGTGTTATCGGGCTAAGTTCAAGATCTTGTTGCATGTCTATCAGTCCTTTCAGAGTTGTGCTTCTCCATGTCTGGCTGCATTGTTGAAGCAGCTTGTTCCATCGTGGTCTCTTCGCTCTGCTGAGCAGGGGTTGTTGACTGTTCCACGTGCCAGGTTCAGGTGCAGGGGGGGATCAGGCCTTTTCGGTTACTTTGTGGAATGACTTACCGCTTGTTGTGAAGCAGTCTCCATCAGGTTTTTAGAAGTCGCCTGAAGACTCACTTTTATCTTTGGGCTTTTACGTGATTTTCTTCTGTTTTAGCCCTTCATAATTGACTTGTTATTTATGTTTTTATGGTATGTCTTTTTCAGCACCTTGGTGCTGACGTAAAGGCAGTGGAAGGCGCTGTATAAATAAAATGTGATTGATTGATAGAAAATCTTATTGGTAAAGGTGCAACACTGAAAATGCATGACTGCTGGTTAGGGCTGGGCAATAAATCGAAAATTTGTCATTTTCAAAATTTCTGACTCTTGTCGTGATCATTTATTCCATGTCAATAAATTAGCAAATAAAAAAATGAAAAGATGTGTGTAGGTTGGCAACGTTCATGTCCCTTTAAGAAGCTGTACCACCTTGAGTCACATAAAAATGTGACTCAATGTAATACACGTGACAGCCCCATCTAGTGGACAACTTTTGTTTCTGCTTTTAACTGATTATAAACAAAGTGCTGCTGTACAAGATCAAACCCAGAACGAAGAATGATTTATTATTTTTGTCCATGTCGTGCAACTTTTGTGCTAAAATATCAAGTATGCTCAAGTCATCATCAAGTCAACGGATACAAGTCGATTCAAGTTGCAAGTTATTGGCATTCAAGTCCGAGTTAAATCGTAAGTCTTTATAGATTTTATCAAGTCACTTGACTTGACAGAGGTCATTAAAATAATGACTCGAGTCTGACTCGAGTCCAAGTCATGTGACTCGATTCCACACCTCTGATCATAAGAGACAAGTGGTACTAAGGGTTTCAAAGTGGGACAAGAACATCACCTCACCACTATTACACCACCAGCAGCACCCTAAAGCACACAACCCAGAACGGATCCTTGCTTTCATGTGGGTGATACCAAATTCTGACCCAACCATCTGAATGTTGTAACTGAAATCCAGACTCATCAGACCAGGAAACAGTTTCCAGTCTCTTATGGTCCAGCTCTGGTGATCAGTTGTGGATTAGCCTATAGTTTTGACATGTTGTGTTTTCAGAGATGCCATTCTGCAGAATTCAGTTGGAACCGGTGGTTTTTTGAGCTTCTGTTGCCTTTCTATCACATCAAACCAGTCTACCCATTCATTTCTGACCTATGACATTAACTCATTCGCTGCCAGCGTTTCTTGCCGTTTTTACTGTTTTTTTTAAGTCACAGAACGTTGCGCGCTAGGATGATGTCAACGCCAAAACAACCAAAACAAAGCGGAGACTCACCTCTTACATCGGGAAGAATCCACGCGTTTCGAGCGTTATCCGTTCTTTCATAATCCGTTGTTGAATTGTGATCGGCAGAAACTTTTCCTTTCGCGCCTCATTTTTTTTACAGCAGCGGCCCAAAACGATCTCCTAACACATGGATTTTCTGCTTCCTGATCACGTGACGTGTGCAGATGAAGATCAGCTTTAGAGCTGAGATGTTTGTTCTCATGGTGCGGGGGCTCGTTCCGATGCCCACACAGTAAAAAAATGCAAATTACGACATTAGTCGTCAATGGCAGTGAATGAGTTAACAGCATTTTCTTGCACACAACATCCAATCATTGGGTGTTCAGATCAGGACAAAATCCTCTTTCTTCTTGATTCTGCTGCTCAGCTTGAACTTCATCAGGTCATTTTCTCCACACCTAGAGGCCTAA